CTTTTGCAACAAATGTGCCTACATTAAGAAGAATTGACATAGCTTAATTTTAGTTGATTCAGACAGCATTAGGCAAAAGGAATGCAAAAATTCATTACCTTATTAGAAATATAGTAGATAACAAGTTGCTGTTATGTTTTCTTGTAGAATTAAAGTATTAACATAAAAATCTAATGACTATTAAACCTGATTTATTGGCTATCTCTGTGTTCTTCCGGCTTGTGGTTCTTCAATAGCAATAGCATTTAGACTTATATACCGCGTCACAGTGCTTTACAGCCCCTCTCTAAGCGGTTTGTAGAGTCAGCATGTTGCCCCAACAATCTGGGTCATCATTTTACCCACCTTGGAAGGATGGAAGTCTGAATCAACCTTGAGCCAATGAGACCTGAACTGCCAAACTTCTGGCAACTGGTGATCAGCAGAAGTAGCCTGCAATATTCTAACCACTGCACCACCACGGCTCCTAATGCCCTTCAACATAGGGAATATGTTGTATGTTTAAGTCTCAGGCTATTATGAGATTTGTAGCATGCTAAAATAAAAGACGAGATCCTGAAAGGACAGAGAGGACATTATAGTTTTATGATAAGTGGTATCTCAAGGTATCTTTTTTAAAAAAGAAGGCTAGACATTCAAGAAAGGCTAACTTGTCTTGGTTCTTTCTAGATGTTCTCCAGGTTACTATGGACAACCTAGAGTACCAGGTGGCAAATGTCAGCAATGTCAGTGCAATCAAAATGGTTCTCTCCATCACCACTGTGATCATATTTCTGGGCAGTGTGTTTGTAAGCAAGGTGTAACAGGACAGTTGTGTGATCAGTGTGATTCAAGGCACATTCTTGTGGAGAATGAATGTGTTTGTAAGTGCTTTATTTTTATTTTTCCCATTTGCTTTTTAAGTTGAAGTATGCCTAGAATGGGAACTGTTAAGTGCTGTTTAGTATTATTCAATCTGTAAGATATTGCTGCATGAAGCATATTTGTTCAGTTACATTCTTTAAAAAATGCTGTTTGTATTTTGGATATGACAGCTAAATAGATGAAGCTATTGAATAGTGTAAGTATTCCTGTAAGGAAAAGAAAGGAAATAGTTACAGAAAGAAATGCACATACAGAGAAGGAATAAAATTGCATAAATTTAAAAATATCCACTTAATATATTTATTTGTTGTGCATAGTTTCCACTTAACAAAGTTCTCCACTTAACAAAATTTGAAGGTTAAGAACTCTGTTTTCTGATCAATAAAGAATTATTGAGGAATAAAAAGCAGTGTGGAGGAATGAATGTAAATTCAATTAGTGAGAGAGTTACTCTAGATTCTCTGTTGGAAATAGGGGTTTTCAACATATGCATAGTTACCTGGAGTTATTATTTAGTATAATTATAAAGAAGTGGCAATGAAGAACTCCAAAAATGTTTCAGAAACTGAAGGAATGAGTGTCTAAATGGTAAATGCCATGAATGCCATGAATTAAAGTACATTATAAAATTTGTAACCATGTATATGATGATAATCTAACCATAAAAGAGTCTCTGAAGTTGTGTGGGTTTTTCCTGTATACTGTATTTTGGAGGCCAAGCATGAGACTCTAAAGAGATATCACAAAGGTTGTCATTCTTGTGTTAATCAATGAAATAATCTGTTTTTAAGAGGTACAAATGTGGGGGCTGCCTCTCTCCTTTTTTGTTTTTGGAATATATTTCACTTTCTGTTTAGTTTATGAATATACAAAACTTAATGTAAGCATTAATATAATATGTGTATTAACATGAAAACAAAATCTATAAATTCTTTCTTCAGCTTGTGATGATGACTGTACAGGGCAGTTGTTGAATGATCTGGATAATTTTGACAAAGCTATGCATTTGGTAAACTTAAATGGTGCTATCTTGGCACCTTATGGAGCACTTTCAGACTTGGAAAATGCCACAAAACATTTAAAGGTGTGTAAGCTGTTGCTTATCTTTTATATTGCAGTTTATATTATTGTGTAGGTAGCTGAAGATTAATATATTGATTACCACTGGGCTATTTTAAGTATGGTATGATTGGTTCTTATTCCTTCTATGATAAAACACTACTTCTAATTAGAAATAATTCCATGGAAACAACTGTTCTGAACTTGCCACCCACTAAGCCATGGTTGAGAGCTGGGCTGATAAATATTATGGTTAAGGAACAGCTTCTTGTCTTACTGTAAATCCTATATAAAGTGCATTAAAATAAATCTATGTGTTATTTCATGGAAAGAGACCGTTCATTTCACATGTTGAATTCAGTGACGATGATACTCCTAATAATAACAATGTTCCATATAGTTGTTATTATTTATATAATTACTTGTATAATTGCCTTTATAAAATATTTTCAAATAGAATAAAACTGAAAGGGGACATTTTTGTAGTTAGCCGCGCAGCTATCCAATAGTAATAGCACTTAACGTTTATATACCACTCCATAGAGGTAGCCATACAGCACTCTCTCAATGGTTTACAGATGATAGCATATTGTCTCCAACAATCTGGTCCTCATTTTACCAATCATGGAAGGCTAAGTCAATCTTGAGCTGGTCAGGATCAAATTCCCGGCAGTGGGCAGAGTTAGCCTGTAATACTGCATTCTAACCACTGTGCCACACATATGCTTCCATTCACATTTTGCACTGTGCAACATGTGAATGCGAACATATGTGGTATGCTCCCAGTGCCCCTCATCACTGATTCTCAAGAAATATTTGTTTTAAGGTGTTCCTGAGAGGTTCTATGTATGTGCTTATGCAAGTTCTGAATCACATTATTCCCTTCAAATCTGGATCACCGTGCAGCACTGGTAAAATTACATTGAAAGGTTATTACACATTCAGATTTTCAAAGATTCATCAATTGAATCTATAACTTAATATTTTTTAGACTGTCTCACTAACATCTTGGCTGAATTAAAATCTCACATGTTGATCAGTTTGTTTTTCAGTCACATACCAATGTAATATAGTATTTATTTCATTTTCTATTATATACCAACAAATTTCCTCGTTATTATACAGACATTTTAAGGTTTTCTAGGAAAGTTATTTGATGAAAAGGACTGTTAAAGCAACTAAGTGGGAATAATTGCATGCTAAAAGGTCTGAATTTAAATTCTTGTCTCCAATCTTGAAGCTGTTTGCATACACATTTTATTTCCAGGACGCTTTGGGAGTTGAAGAAAGTCCAAACTCTTTAATGAAAATCATGAATGGCAATCTTGATACAATATCAAATGTTTCAGATCAGTTCTACAACAAGGTAGGGATTTTGCTTCTTTATTTCAAGTTTAAGCTTACCTATTAGAAAAACAGGTAAAGTAAAAATTGGTAAAGTAGACCTGCAAGTAGAAGATACACCACAACATTGAATTGAATTGGGTAATTATAAATGTTTAGCTCTGTATTTACTGAGTGAAAATCTGTTTCAATAAAGAAGCACAAGATTTCCTTATTTACTGAAGAGCTTATCTAAAGCAGGGAAGATTATTATGTACCTTCACAGGTTATTTTATTTTATTTTGCCCGCCTTAGAGATTCGACTCACCTGAAATATTTAATATTTTTCTGCCCTAGCAGTGTGCATGTATGTAAGTGTGAGATATGTGGAAAATTTGTGTCTGTGTGTAGCTTAAATGCCAAAATACGGCAAAATTAAGAGAAAAAAATCAGCTAATATTAATATATTGATTAAAATTAATTTCTTGTAAAATAAGAGTTGCAGAATTGTTCCTCATATCTGTCAATTCACATGTAATATAATCACATACATCTCCTTGCAACAATTACAATTAGACTGAAATAAGCATGGGCAAGAACAAAGGAGAAAGAAAAGTCTGAAAACAACAAGAAAGGGTTTGAACCTTTGCAGTAAATTGCATAGAGTTTAGTAGTTCTTATTCCCAAGTTGCTGCTTAGTCCAGCCTACTTACTTAGCAGCTCAAAGAAATGTAAGAACACTGTCAAAAGAGTCTTATTTTTGTTACGATAAAAAGATCAGTTAGGCTGTAGGGATAATAATAAATTAATAAAATAACAAAAAGGAAATCCTGGCATGCTTACTATAGAATAAAGGCTATTGAGTTCAATGCCTTTGTCTACATTCATGGTGACTCTTTGGTCGTTCATGGAAAACTGATCTCTACCTCACTTATGGTCTTCTTACACATCTTCTGGTGCATGGTAATTTGTCCCTTCTCCAATCATTACCTTTCATTATTTTCAGCAAAAACTACTACCTCTACCTTTTACTGGCTCTGTTAAGCTTTTCTTAGGGATTATAAGATTATCTCTTCTAAAATTCAAATGCAAGTATTTATAAATGCCGTTGCTTTTCCATTGAAAAAGTTTTTAGCATAGATGTTAAGTATCTGAAACACATCACTCTTTCTGCAGCATTTATTTGATAAAAATAATATAAAATGCTATTTTTACCAAATAAAAGGTTTGTTTTGCATGTAATTGAGTGACAATTGTACATACGTTCCTTATTCTTTGTTACGGTAATTAAGAGTCACAATTTCAATAGCATATTTCATAAAAATATATATTTGCTTTTTGTACTAGTTAACAAGAATATTAGAAAGAGAAGAAAATCTCAACAATGCTACAGAAGGTACCTTGAACAAGAGTAAAGAATTGGCTAAATTTATCAACACATTGCAGGCATCTATGAAAGGTAATGTGATTGGCTTGGGACTGTTATAGTTTTGGAGTAGAAATTAAATAAATAAAAATCTATTGTTTCTGTATTTGTATAAAATGATTTTTAAAATCCTTTTTTCTTCCCAATTATTTTTTTCTTTCTCCACCAAGTGCTTGTGGAAATGGCAGCTACTCTTAACACAACAGGAGATAGTGATTTCCCACAATCAAATAAAACACTTCAGAAATTGCAAGATGATATTCCCATGATGTTGGACATAATGCGTAGAAGGTATTTCCAGCAACTGCGTCAAGATAGTATACATGAATTAAAGTAAGTCTTTTTGCGGCTTGCTGCAGTGATCATAATTAATATTTAAGACAAGTAGAGAAAAATGTATCTGTCCTTTTATGATAAGAATGAATTGCTAAATGTAATTTCTAAGATGCTTAATGTATTAAATCAAATTAAAAGCTTAATGTCGTAAAACAACGGGATTTTCATTAAAATTAGAATTCATAATTTTTTAAAGGCATAACATGATTCATTGATGTTTATATGTGCTTTAAATTTAGCACTAATTTCCAGTTCCAGGAATTATACGGTCTATTGTACATAACTCATACCTCATGCAGATAAATTGTTTCAAGCTGTCTTTAGAGTAAATTGATTTAGAATTTAGATTTAGAATATGTTAGAAGTAGAGGGTGAAATATCTCGTATTAGGATATATATCACAGATATTTAGCAGTCAAGATTTCACTTGTGATAAAATCCAAAACCATGTTTTAATGTAATTTTGTATGGGTTTAGACATAATCAAAATGGGAATTTGTAAAAAAATAAAGGAAAATAATGAAATCTGATTTAATGTATGAATAAATTTGTAAAATATATTTAAAAGAATTGAGAAATATTCTTAAAGTTATAGTCGAGAAGATGCCATCCAAGAAAACATCTTTTGATTCCCATCAAGAGTTCTGATACTTTTCTACTCATTTTTCTGCTCTTGAGACCATGGCAAGAATAAATATTAAGCACATTCACCACGTTATGCCAAACAGATGAGTTTAACAATTTGGAATATGAATGCACAGAACGTCTTATGGAGGTTCTCAGTCATCTGGGTCATGTTGTGCCAAAGGACTAAGAAGCCTCTTGGATGAGAAGCAAAACATCTTCAAGGAGCAAACAAAGTCCAGCTGCCTTTTGAAAAAGCGCTTTTAGAATGCACAGTATGTTAGTGTTCATGGTCTTGTCACTGAATAGGAGATAGTTTCTTTATCTCCTTTCCTTTAAATATTTTGGGAATAACATCTTGTGATATTCAAACACAGGTCATACTTTAGACCAGTGGCCCCCAACCTTTTTTGTGCCACGGCCCGGTACCGGCATCACAAAATGATCCGCGGCCCGGTACCGGCATCAGCACGCATGACAAGGCAAGGCGAGCCGAGCGACCGGCCAGCCAGCCATCCCCCGCTTCTCCCCGCCACCTTCAACTTCTCCTTTGTACCTTTGTCAATGGGCTTCACTTCGGGATGGCTTCAGGACGGTCACTCGGCTCGCCTTGCCTTGGGTGCTGAAAGAATCCTCGCACCTTAGTTTCGTTTGAAGCCCCCCCTTCGATGAAACTAAGGCGCGAGGATTTCTTCAGGACCCAAACGCCGCTTTCCAACTGGAAAAGCTCACCCGGAAGCACTTTCTTGTCAAACAAGATGGCAGCGCCCAGCAAACCAGCGGCCCAGTAGGAAATGTTCCATGGACCGGTACCGGTCCGCGGCCCGGTGGTTGGGGACCCCTGCTTTAGACCATCCAAACAAGCCAAGATTAAATGCAACTTTGCATTTTATATCATAAGCACTAGTCTGTAATCCTAGGATAATGATTTGATGGAATGATAGGTGACTACAAACAATGTAAATAAACAACAAAGCCAAATTTCTCATTAGCTATATGAGACAGATCTTAACTTCCTCTAGTGTGGCTTTATTTTCAAGAGGATTACATAACTTTGTGTATGTCTTCCATATGTATTAGAAGTGCAGAAAAGTTGCTGACACGAATCCAGAGAGAATATTGGAGACCACAGCAAAAAATTAAGGACATTCAAAAAGCAGCAAAACGTGCCTTATCTGACCATAGCTCCAAACATCAAGAAGCCCAAGATGTTGTGAACGTAGCAAACAGTAACACTGAAGAGGCTAGACGTCTGCTTGTTCCTATTAATAACAACCTCAATGAGTTCAATGTAAGAAGACTCACAGCATATTTTATGTGATTTGTCTGACTGTGTAAAATAGTCTTTAAAGAAGAAAAAATTAGGTTTAATATTCACATTAGGCAAAGTATATTACACTTAACATTTGCATCCCTTTAAGCATAAAGGGATTTTATGTCAGATATACTTACCTCTGTAATAGCTGATATAAAGTTTTAATTATACCCAATATTGTATTCAGAATAAAAAGCTGAATGTTAAAGAAGATGAGGCTCTTTCTGTTATGCTGATAAAAGAAGGAAAAATCCAAACAACTGCTGCTACCGCCTTTGCAAGGGATATATTTAATTCTACATCTGTAAGTCACTGAACACTCATAATCCTAATTTATACATGGTTAATTACCCATAGTATGATACTAACTAAGCTTGAATGTTTAGGATCTAGAAATCCATCAGGATGAATTGATGTTATGGAGTAGTAAATTAAGACAACATGTGGATGACCTGGTTATGCAGATGTCTACTCGAGGCGCTCTTGAACTGGTCTATAAGACAGAAGACCATGTTGCTGAGTTAGAAAAAAATGTTCATGCATTAGACAGGTAAGAGTGTCATCAATAGATTAAGCTTTATTTAAAGAGATAGCAGGCAGTCTTAGTGTCTAAAATGTCTGTCTACTAGAAATGACTTTCTGCTTAAAGATTATTAGACACAAAACTTTTACATAGGAAACATAAAACTTCCAGTCTAGAGTGTTGAATTCAACCCTTACATTCAAACCAGAAATTATGAATTCTGCATACGTAGAATTTTAAGGACATAGATTCTATATGCATGTGATTCATGAAGTTATGACAGGTGCTTCAAACAGATGGTCACAATTTCCTTCTTCAGCGATTGTAACACTACAGCTCTTCTGAGTTTATGTTTCTTTTATACTGTACTAAGCTCTAACATACTTAATTGCTACATATAGCTAGATAATGTATTACTGGAACAGAAATGCATAAGCTGTTTTATTTAGAATATAATATAATTATTTAGGGAAATAAACTTTCAATTGTGACAGGACAGTGGAATTAATGACTGCATTAGGAATATTCAATATGCAACTTTTATTTTATGTTTTTAAAATAACGCAATGCTATTTTGTTTCAAGTGCATGTTATTGTAAACCACTAGGCGAGATGGCCATTGTAGCAATTTAATCAATAAAATAAAATAAATAAACTGTTCCAAATATAAGGTTTAAAATAGGTTCTAGGTTCTAGTAAAATCTGAAAAGTATTTTAATAGGTTTAAATTTAATGCAAAAGATATAATTTTCATCTTCTATTGCAGTGGCCTTTTGAATGTTAGAAATGTGACTGTGAATGTGACAAATTCTGTCCATGTGTACTCTACCGTAAAAAATCTAGTTGAAAGTGCAGAGAACCTGGCAAGTGATGTCACTAAGATTGTCTATGAACCAATACATGTGGTGAGTGCATAATAAGTCTGTGTAATATCAATATAGATAAATATTCTTCAATATAGATATTCATCATTCAAAACTTATATGGTAGAGTTATTTTGGAACATCTGGGAGTGAAACCCTTCATCTCTTTAAAGGAGCTACATTTTTTTCAGACTTCTAAGTAAACCTGGGAAAAAATGTATGGAGTTGCCTCATGAAAACACCTGTGTCTCTAATGCAACTCTTTAAAGCAGCTGTGTCTTGAGTATGTATAGCTTGTACTCCACAATATCAGATTTTTAAAAATTCTACACATGAATTTGTTTCCTTTCTCAAATAAATGAAAGGCTTTGGAATGTTCTAATGGCTAATCAAAATGCCCAGATTTTCTTTCTAATTATGAAATTATGTAAGCTTAAAAAAAAATAGCTACCACTACCATGCAACAGAAGTAGCTTCTGACTTGTTCAAAAGCTTGTTCAGTAATCATATTTTTTTCTTTGTTGAAAGCTCTGTATTGAAATCTATAAAAACAATATTTTCCTGATCTTCTGAAAACATAATGAAAGTTAGGAATGATAAGTATCTCCTTACTTGTACAAGCTTTTCCTTTTAAGAAATTCAGTTCATTGAGAAGAATTGGAAAGTTTAATTGTTTTCAATTTTAAGCAGACCTAATCTTTAGATCTTTGTGATGTGACACCTGGCTAACCCCTGGCATGATCCTTTTTTTTCTTACTGTGTACATGGGTTAAGGGGCGAGACCCTTCTTCTTGAGGTCAAAGTTCCCAGAAATCCAAATAATTATGCACAATGTAAACATTTGGTACAACCCGTAATTTCTGGGAACAAGTCCCAAGCCACAGTAGCAAGTATGGAATGTGTTGATGGAAGTCAACTACATCTGTACAAGGCCATTTTAGCAAAATATTTGTGTAAGCATTAATGATCTTCACAACACCCTATTTCTAATATAGTTGTGTGTTATGCATGTGAGGATATGTTTTTATGGTTTTCTGTCTTATGTCACATATTAATCTGATGTGTTTGATCATAGGACTGAGATTGAAAGCTTAAGCTAAAATAATATAAAACTATAGAAATGAGGTTTTTTTTATAGCCACATGACATATAGCAGGGTTTTCCAAAAATTATGCTTGAATCATGTAACATTAATACTGCTTTTTCATTATTCATAAATGTTTTCTTGTTGTGTGATTGTTTTAAGAAAAGAGAGCCCTTTAACATTACTGGGAAAAATGTCCTTCACCTTGGCTCCACTGTCTTAACTGATGCAAAACATCTTGACAAGAAGTATGATGGTAGGTTTCATTACATATAGGTTGAGATATTAATTTTTGCTCAATAGTGAAGCTTACTGGGGGATGTTACATCTTTTATCGTCATGTGCTAATAAAAGCAAGGTGTTTACTCCACCTGAGATCTTTGCAGGATGTAAATATTGGTTGCTGTATATTAGCATGAGAAATTTTGTAATAAAGAACCTATAAACCTGGGCCACTTAGAAATTGTCCCCCTGGATGCAATAAAACAACCATCTATTTGGCACAGGCTGCAATTATGTTTTAGTACATTTTTATATGCGATCCCTGGCAACCTTTGGCTTTGGTCATTAGTTTAAGCTATATGTAGGCATCTGCTGAATAGGCATCTTTTTAGCATAGAGGGCACAGATTGTATAAGGCACAATTCACTGCTTTTAGTTTCTTACAAAAATTAATCTACTGCTTTGGATTTACAACTATTTTTCTCTGTAGGACTCAGGTCAGGGTTAAATGAAATTAACATAAAAGTGGAAAGACTTAAAGCGAAAGCCAGTGGAATTGCAAAAAGGTTTAATGATTCCCTACTTCAGCTGACTGCATTGCCCAGAGGTAAGGGAAATTCATCTTGATAGTATTGTCCTTCATTCTGTCAGGCAGATCTATTTAACTTCATCAGCACAAGAGAATCTTATCTTTTCATTTCAGATTTTTAAACATGTATTTATTTATTTTGAAAGCATGTGTGTAAGAGAACAATGTACGGTTGCTGTTTTCAGCCTATTTGCATTTGTTTAAAACAAAAAAGAACAACAAAATGAATAGGAAATAATTAGGCTTACATTGCTGTGCATTGTGCTAAGCAAAGATTCATTGGCTGGTTTTCTGGTCATTAAAGCTCTGAAACCTAGCCATGCTGAAATAGGATCGCAGATTTGAATGGTATTTTATTGGTCTTTATGGCTAATAAACCATGATTTAACACTGCATGTATAAGTAATAAACAGTTGTAGCAAGCTTTATAATAGCAGTTTTTTATATTAACAATTAGATGAAATGGTATTCATTTCCTTTTCCAGGATAGTACTACTTTTACTTCTTCATTGCAGTAGACATCACCTAGTTAATATACCAGAGCTAAAAGAAAACCACAATTTAAGAAATCATATAATTTTTATATGAATAACTTTTATATGTATAACTATATATATAACTTTAGTTTTCCACATTAACTCTGGTTTTGATGGTCAATCCTTTAAGTTTAAAACCAAAAACCAAACGAATTCAGGACACTATGAATATGGCTTAAAAAGAACCCTAAATTTAACTTAATTTGACAGGTGTCACAATAGAATGGTGGTTGAGATAATTAGTATTGTTTTATGCCCAAAGTACAAAAGCAAATGAACTGCTTACAGACTCACAATCTTCTTAATTCCAGACCTTGATAGTTATATAGCAGGGTCTGATTATTCTTGTGTTCATTTAATTGTAAGCCGACCAGTTTATGTGGAAAGCCTTTATTTCAATTTATATGAACTTTAATAGTCCCTCCATATAATAGGGGATCAGTAACTAAAGGAAGTGGGCAGGCATATGCTTAGATGTAGCTGCATCAAGAAGTTTTTTATTGCGAGATTACTTGTTTAGTTACAGACATAAGGTAGTACTGCATTTATCAGAGTAGGGTACACTTTAAGTTTAGGGAATTAAAATAAATATGAGATTCTGATCACAGATCTTCTGTACTAGGTTCATTTTGTTCCTGAGGTGATAGTAACCAAGTTGCAAAGATTGAGTCTTCTATTCTTTGCAAGCAGGGTGATAGATAATGAAATTTATGTTGATCATTTGTTTCAGGTACTAATGAAAATATTTTGGCAATAAAAAGGCTGGCTCTTTCTGCTAATTTGACTGTCCTTAATGGTATAAGCCATACTGACGGTTATAGTGAGAAGCTGTGGAATTCCTCATCTGCATTGTCTAAAGTTAATGATACATTGCAGAAAACAAATGAACTTATAATTGACTCAACAAATGCTGGTAGGTTTGCTGCTTGATTGCTTACTAGAAATGTTACTGCATGCAAGAGTGGGATTAATTTTTAATCCAAAGCATTTTTTATTCTATTCACATTGAAAGCAGTTTGTACTAGTATACTTTGACATGGTGAGAACTTGTGATTTTTTTTTGTTTGAAAGTTGGCATTTTCAGACTAGCAAGGCTGAATGAAACATCAGTAAAAAATTAAATGTACTTAGTTACATATTTTTTGTATGTGTATTCATTATTCATTTGCAGTTTAAAACACAAATAAATAGTTAGCAGAATTGCCCCAAAAACTCTTTTTCAGTATATCTCCACTTCTGTTTTGGCAGCAGCATCAGCTGAAAAAAAAGTGAATGAAGTTGAAATCCAGGCTGGTCTGTTATATGGAAGATTGAAACCTTTAAAAATACTGGAGGAGAATTTAAGCAGAAACATCTCTGAAATTAAAGAGCTCATAAACCAGGCTCGCAAACAGGCAGCTTCTGTAAGCACCTAACCTTTTTTCTGTGTTCCAGAAAAGAAACCACTATTTTGTTTCAGGATACATCCTAAATAGTTGCATCATTATAATAAACTATAACTGACAAAGTACGTATGTTTCTTAATGCAAAGTACAGCACATACCCTAAATAGTTATATCTACTATCACTATGGTAGATAGTGAGGGAGGAAAGGACTTGTCTTTTTCTTTAAATAATATTACACTTTCATAGCTGCCTATGAGCTTTCCGTTTAAAAAATGTAGTTTCAAAGAGAACAGGTACATGCAATGTATGCATAATTAGTATAAACTACTGATTTTATTGTCAAAGCTCTCCAAGGCCTTCCTGGACCACTCTATTTTCATCCCAGGACGTTCTTCGTTTCTTTCTAATAAAAGGAGAATATTTGTAGCTCAGGTTTGAAATGAGAGGTCCTTGGAACTCTCTGAATGTGGTAATTTTTTGCAGACATTTCATTGTCCAAACCAGGTAACATCATCAGTGCTAAATGATAACTAGTAGTGATGATGTTTCCTACTTTGGGTAATGAAACATCTGCAAGAAAGCAACCAAGTTCAGAGAGCACCGAGGACCCCTCATCACTCCATTCTGCATAGTGCTGGTTTCAGCTATTCAGAAATCCATGTTCCCTCCTAAAACTATCACCTTAGGGATTACCTAATCCAGAGGTCTCCAAGACTTGTGAACTTCAACTCTCAGAATTCTCCAGCCAGCTATGCTGGGAATTCTGGGAGTTGAAATCCACGAGTCTTAAAGTTGCCAAGTTTGGGGACTCCTGACCTAATCCATCTGTTCCAGTCTTTTCTCAGAAGCCATACTTTCAATATGGCTTTTGTTTCAATCATCTAATTCTCACATCTTAGGGAACATAAGTCCCTAATCAAGTACAACTAACCAGGGTCCTGAAAAAAACATGCATTGTTTTCCACTATCTACTATTTCCTCAATATGTTTTACATTGTAGGATGTACATAGCAGCCCCCACCAACATCAAAGAGAAATACCATTTGTTATTTTGGTGGAATATAAAGATATAGAGAAAGATGCTCCCTCCCATTGGTTGATTTTATTTTTTATTTAATAAATTTATGTGCTGCCCATCTCACTGACTCCTACATTTGATTAGCAATAGCAACAGCACTTAGAATTACATACCACTTGATAGTGCTTTACAGCCCTCTCTAAGCGGTTTACAGAATCAGCATATTGATTATGTCAGGTATTTTATTCATTAATGTGAATAATATTTCTATGATATCCACTATACGTCACCAAATGTATATGTATAGGTGTAAATTGTACCTGCATTATATAAGTTTTTTGTTTTTCCTTTTGTCAGATTAAAGTTGCAGTATCTGTAGAAAAAGACTGTATTCGGGCCTACCAACCCCAGATATTATCTACTAACTACAATACATTAACATTAAATGTTAAAACAATGGAACCTGACAATCTTTTATTCTATCTGGGTAGCAATGGTAAAGTAAGTAAAGGATTTTATATCTTGATTCTTCTATAGTCCAGGTACTCTACCAAGTTACATTGGGTTTCTACTGAATTATATATCTGACATCCATACAATAAATAAATTGCATTTCAGTGGTCGATATAATGGTTATAAAAGGGTTTTTATACATAAGTAATAGTGGCAGTTTTAATATTTGTTAGTATGTGAGGTAATGTTGCAAAATAGTTTGGATTATTATGAAATGTAAGGGTGCAATCGCTTGCATATTTCAAGTATTATAGACTTCGGTTGGTCAGTAATGTATGTTCTCTTAAATTTAATATCCTGAATATTCAAATATTAATGATCAGATCTTGAAACGATATAATTCTCATGTGGCCAAAAACATAGCCAAATGACAAAGATATTATACAAACTGTAATTTGATACATCTAAAGATACTTTGTTGCTTTTACATGAAGTAAACTATGATAGTCAATAGAAATCTATATATAAGTAATGAAAACTTATTTCCTTAACCTTTATAGGTGACAGTAGGTAGCTGTCCAATTGGAAAAAAGAATTAAATTACTTGGATTTCAAAAAACAATACTGCCTTTTTTCCCCTTCCCTTTTTATATTTTTTACCATCACAATTGCTCCCAGTTAATTGTAATCAATTGTATCTCAATTGGTACAGCTAATTTGGATTGATTTTTATAGTATAGTTTATTGTTATGCAATGCTAATTTGTACTTTAACTACATGGCTTGTATTTTATAGCGGAGTTAGAGGTACAATATGTTCATTTAAATGATTCTGTGGTTAATTAAGCCTATATATTTTATGTGGCCTTTACATTTTAAAAATTATTTTGTCTTGAATGCTTCATTTACAAGCAAAATGTTTAACAAGTTCTTAAAATTGAGTTGGAAAAGTTTAGCACAATTTGTGTATACTACTGACTTCTCAAATATGAGTGTGATCGGTATTAATATTATATTATTTTCCCTCTGGGCTTTCCCATATGTTTTTTGTGGTTGGCTAGTTTCAATACAATACAATACAATACAATACAATACAATACAATACAATACAATACAATACAATACAATACAATACACAGTTGGCTGTATAGTCTATCTCATATTTAAGTTGCTGTATTTGAGATGGCCCACTTCAAAGCAGTATGTCAAATAATAAATTTCCTTTGCAGGACCAGAAAGGTAAAGTAAAAATTAAAATCTCTCATGGAGTCATAACAAGGCTGTTTTTGAAATATTTTTTTAAAAAAATTAGAACACTTTTAGACATGGTCCTTCAACATCCACAAACTTTTTTTAGACTGATTTCATGGCAGTGGAGATGAGACGTGGCAAGGTGGCCTTCTTGTGGGATTTGGGCTCTGGATCAACAAGACTGGAATACCCTGACTTATCTATTAATAACAACAAGTGGCATAGAATACATGCTACAAGGTAAAATATTATGGGTGTGATACTATCTATGTAGAACATTAGATATCTAGAAAAGATAAGCTGTGTTGACAATAAATAGCTTTTAGCATTTTTAGAATAATAGTTTAATTTATCTGATAAAGGTATTTATCATAAGATGATGTTAGAGATAAACAGATACAATCCAGAGATATATAGATACTAGTGGTTTTATAATTTCAATAGCTAGTTAATACCAAATTTTGCAGCACATTCAACAATTTTAAATGTTGAAAGTGATGCCTTTGTAAAATATAAAGTAATAGTTCTGCCTTTTAAAAGCCATCTTCATTCTCTCAAATGTAAAAGCATATTTACTTGAGGAGCATAAAAGAATGCTGATAAGTCACACTTAATCACAGAACCCGATATAGACGTAGATATTTTGAGAGCTGTGTGGTACAATGGTTAAGGTGTTGGACCAGGAGAGAGAAGACCTAGACTCTTAATCATCCTCAGATAAGGAAGCTCACTGGGCCAATTTCCCTCTCTCAGCCCAGGAGCCTTCATTAAGGAGTTACACTAGAAGCAGGGAGACTGACATTATAGTCCACTTTCAACCAAAGAAGCTTACTCAAATGGCCTTTGAAACTTACGTAGCTTAATGCAATTTGATTCCCAGGTACTTTATTAGCTGAAAAATATCATCATTATGTCATGGCTGTGTCAATTCTATGGGATAGACCAGACTAAAAAGCATTCATTGTGCATCTTGGAATTAAGTGAGAGAGGAGATGCTGTTTGAGGTGTTTTTGTAAATCATCATTTTCTTGGCTCAAGCTAAAGCCTCATTTATCCCAACAGATTTTCTTTTTCTCCTTCTCAACCATCCTGTAAATTCACTATAACCTATTCACAGTTATACATATAACTCAAGCAAATTGTATACTCTGAAGTAGAAGAGTTTTCATACTTTGGTAAAGGATCTGTAATATTTTTTTTTTTTAGAAAAAGGGGGAATCTATATAAATAAACTGAATTTAATGAATGATAAGGTATTCAGAATAGTTGCCATCAAATATTTGCATCTATGTGTAACACCAGTTAGCAGATTTAACTATTTTAGTTCCTTCATTATTCTTCTACTTAGGTTTGCGAAAACTGGCACTCTGAGTGTAGAGGAGACTAGTTCTCCTCAGAAGCCCATCAGAAGTGCCACCTCCCCTGGAACAGCCACTGTACTAGATGTAAATCTGTCAACTCTAATGTTCATTGGTGGACTTGGAGGACAAATCAAGGTGAAAGGTTTACTGTAATGCGATAGTTCACTTGGCAAATATTGAAGATGATTTCCTCTTCACTGTGGTGAATCTGTAAGACCTGTCAAGTATTCGGAAATGAAAAGAAAGACATCTATATGATGGTTGCTTGTTCTTGTAAACCAGAGTGCTTTAAAATATTGCCAGTGACTATAATTTTAATGTGAGAAACTGCACCATCCTTGTGGAACATGGGGTGGGGTGGGGGACAAATTCATGAGACTAATTTCAAGACTCAAGTTCATCTCTTCTGGACATATGTCATGTTGCACACAAACACAAAATTTGCAGCATTGTGCTGCAATATTGACAAAAGCAGCAAGCCCCTGAGGATACCACCGGAGATAGGTGAATGTTATTACATATATGGGGATTAATGATATTAGTCAATATTAACTTGATTTGAATTAAATACCGTTGTCTCATTTTTGCAGTGTGGACAATGGCATGCTACTCAAATACAGTAGAGTTCATCAGTGGAGCTCAGATAAAACATTGTTCTATTAACTGATTTTGTTTTACCTTACACTAAATCACACACACACACACAAACACACACACACACACACACACACACACACACACACACACATCAGAGAGAGAGAGCGAGAGCAGGGAATAATGAATCAAACTTTTTTTCACTTACCTTTGTAACTGTACCTGAAGGAATTTCAAATAGCCAAAGCTTATTTTACTTACTGTAAACGTGTTCTGTTTTCTATAGAAGTCACCATCAATTAAAGTAACACATTTTAAAGGGTGCATTGGGGAGACATTCCTGAATGGCAGACCAGTGGGGCTTTGGAATTTTATGGAAAGAGAAGGCAAGTGCACAGGATGCTTTGGAAGGTGAGAACTGGAAAGTAGCTGCTGATACCCATTTTATTTATCTATTTTGTGTATTATCATCTCAGTCAATAGATAAAGGAATTTAATTTGCAGCCTAGAACTATTTAGGGTTCGAAAAGTATGCCTAAGGCCATAGGGATTGCTTGAGGCCTTTATAAATCTAATTAGAGTTTCCCCGATCGCTATAAAGCAACTTAAGAAATAAATGATCTTTAAAATTGTTTGGATCATGTACCACAACCTTCAAAAGTGAAGAATGCCATGGGATCCTCCAGTTTTCCTTCTGACCTTGTGAAATAAAGATGGGTCAAGGCATTTCTGTTAAAGTATTTTGATGGGGAATTCAACTGTTCAGAAGGCCAGCAATTTTTGTAGATGGGTTGTACAAGCATTATTGTACATTCAATTTTTTGGTGATTTAAAAAAAAAAAAAACCTGTTCCAACGTTCCATTTTGGGTGCTCCCAGAATTTAATTTTATTGTTTTCCTGTTTTTAAATTATCATAATGATGTATCTTGAAAATTACCTTCTGGATTTCCTCTGAGCTAAGAAGTGATTCAGAGATAATTCTGTAAATGATCATTTTTATATCAAAACCAATTTTAAAATTGCTCATAGCTGCATAAGTATGTTTTAACCAGCAGGGGGAGATAAATGATTATTTTATAAATCTGTTTTGAAGAATCTTAACAAACTGTAGAATTATGGCTGCTGATAATCCTCCTTTAAATTGCTGAAGACACTATCAAATGGTTTATTATGTTGTTTTTAAAATGTAACCGTTTTACTGATGGGGAGTATATTTGAAATTCATATATTGCCTTTTTCCTGAAAAAGGAAAATAATATATTAGAAAGTTTCATGTATATATCTGCTCATATGTACTTTTAAACTGTCTTTAATTAATTTAATACAGCTTTACCAAAATTTAGATGTACATTAAATTACACCAAATTAATTTTGTCCTGATCCTTTGCACTATTTTAATTCCTCGGCTAAAAGAGCAATTCGGCAATTTTACATATAGACTCAGTTGATGTATTCAACTGATGTATAGACTCAGTATTTTGACTGTTGCTAAATTGGATTTTCATTACAGAATGTAGTACACAGAGTTCTGTGAGCAGAATGCATCTTGTTAAGAACTTAGTTATATTCTGCCAGTCTCAATCTTCCCTTTGTTTGTTTTCCCTAGCCCACAATATGAAGATCCTTCATTTCATTTTGATGGCAGTGGATATTCAGTGGTGGAGAAATCACTTCGTCCCACTGTGACCCAGATAATTCTATTTTTCAACACTTTTTCAACTAACGGACTCTTAGTATACCTGGCTTCCAATGGCACAGTAAGGAGATCATCCCAATTTATCAAAAAAGATATAATCAGTTCCATAAACTACATTGGGGCTGTTTTTTGATAAGTAACTAAATAAAAATGAATACATTCATCACTATGCCCTACAACCAGCTATGCATTTATTAGATTTTTATCTTGCCTTTATTACTTTATAAGTCATTCAAGGCAATGAACATACTCCTTTCTCCTCCACTTTATTTTCCCTACAACAATGACCCTGTGAGGTAGGTGGGTCTAAGAGAGAGTGACTGGCCCAAAGTTACCCAGCCAGCTTTCATGCCTAATGCCTTATAAGAATGGCATATCGGTGCAGTGTGTTACATGCATAGCATTCTCATAAAAATGAACGGGATTTGATTGTCCAGTAATTTGCATCAAGATAATGTTTGTAACTCAGTCTGAGTTTTCAAATGAAATACAACTGTTAGAAGTTTCCAAAGTTATCTTACTTGTTGTATAGTTGAATAGTTACAGCATTAAGTAGTGGTGCATTTCCCTAACTTTTGATTTCTTTTTCTGCAGAAGGACTTCTTGTCTCTGGAGCTTGTTGATGGCAGAATTAAAGTAACTGTTGATCTTGGTTCAGGCCCCCTTACACTTAAAACAGAAAACCGCTACAATAATGGAACATGGTATAAACTTTCATTCAGACGAAACAAAAAAGAAGGTAAAATATGTTAGCTCAATCCAGACATAGCTGAGTGTGTTTGTCCTGGACATTGATTTTAATTATAAAATTTAAATGATAGGGCTATGAAAATTAGGCACAATCCCTGTACTGCTTTGATTGAAGAATCAGAGGTATCATGTTTTCATGAAATGGAAGAATTAGAAGTGGCACAGTCTACCTTAAGAAGCATATAGCAGGAGTGACCTGCTTCATCTAATTTTTCACTTCAAAACGATGGTTTCTGCATATACAAGAAAGCTTTGAAAATTGGTTTTAGGTAGAAGTTTGATTTGAATGGTTTATTCAAATGCTATCATATCAGTATCTGATAGTTTACAAGTCTGCACACTGAAAAAAAGCAACTGAAAATGCACAGAAAGGTGAATTAGGATGATGCTCTTTAATGGATTCTGCATGAGCTTCTAATATTGTGTTTTCCCAAAAAATGCAACCTACCCCAAAAGTAAGTCCTTGTTTGATTTTTATATGTGTGCTGCATATAAGCCCTACCCCCAAAATAAGCCCTAATTAAGACCCCACCTCACTCCAGGGTGCAGAGGTAAAAATTAAGCTAGGGTGTGGACGGGCGGTGGAGCTACCCTACTACTTACCTTCGGACAGTTGCAGTCAGGCCTTGAACACCCCAACACCTGCTTTCCGGCCCATTTCTTCTGTAGCTGACAAGGCCAGCAAGGCTTTCCTGAAGGCCTCTGCAGCTGATAACAGAGCTCTGGATCGGCTGCAGAGACCTTCAGGAAAGCCTTGCCAGCCACAGAAAAAGTTCCTGAAGGCATCTGACAGCAAAAAGGAGGCTGGGGGTGACGCATGCAAGTGAGGTGAGTCAATGGATGACATTGTCCCCAACAATAAGACTTAGTGCCTTTTTGGGTGGCAAATGTGTGTGTGTGTGTGTGTGTGTGTGTGTGTTTTCATAGATTTTCACGGTTACAGGTATGTAGGTCTAAGTGTGTTCGGGTCTTTTCCCATGTAAGATTAAGAGTATCTTGGCGACGTTTCAGTGAGGTCCCACTCGCCATCCTCAGGCTGGTGCTTTCAGCTTCGTGCCAGTGCTACCTAAATGCACAATCCCATCACCACCCTGCACAGATCAACTCCATAGCCAAGACCCTCATCTCCAGAACCAAGACCACCTGAGAACAGAACTGCACACCCTCACTAACGTATTAATTTCCAACGGATTCCAAAGAAACACTATCACCAAACTAATCCGAAAAGAGATATCCCCCAAAAACCAAGACACAGAACAAGACAACGGTATCGTACTCCTCCCCTACATCAAAGGTACCACAGACAAAATCAGCAAAATTCTCCACAAACACAATATCAGGACAGCCTTCGGCACTGACCAAAAAACAGCCAACATCTTAAGAAACCCCAAAGACAAGATCCAGCTAGAAAACCAAGGAGTTTATGAAATACCATGCAACAATTGCCCAGCCACATACATTGTGGACAAACCAACAGGAGAATAAATGCACGCATCACAGAACGCAAAAACTCAGTCAGAAGAGAAGAAAATACTTCCTCCCTCTTCCAGCACCTTAAAGCCACAGGACATGAAATTAATTTCAAAGGAACCAAATTAATATCCAACACTGAACACTCCAGCAAGAGAATAATCAGGGAAGCCATCGAGATAGAGAAACACCCCCATAACATGAATAGACAGGATGATACCTCCCGCCTACCAGACATCTGGAAGCTAGCCCTCACCAACAAACGAGTCCCAGCCACGAAAACCAACACCAGACCCAAAACAACATGGGACACCACCGCCAATCCCCCTCATCAGACCCAGGCCCAAGCCCATCCTATAAACGAAGGACAACCACCATCCAGAAAACAGACCATGACTGCTTCGCCAGCTGTCACACACCCCGACCCCAAAACCAAACAAGCTGACACACGCCAAGAACACAGACCCAGACCCCAAACTCGAAGCCAGACTAAAACCCAGAATGCTACATCACAGCCCCCCGCTCAGGATATCACATCAGAAAACCCAGGAAATTGCACTACAAGAACTCAAGAAAGTGCAACACAGCAAATGACCCAGGATATCACAGCACAAGATCAAGGATACTACAGCAATAAATCTCACAAGGTCATCACACAACCCATTACCCAAACCGTTACTACACAGGAGGCTAATGGAAAAGAGATCAAAACACAAATGACCCAGGAGATTATAACGCAGGACCCAGGATATCACAACAAAAGAACTTGCAAGCCCATCACACAACCCATTACCCAAGCTGTTAAAACACAAGAAGCTAATGGAAAAAAGATCACTACAAAACAAACAACCCAGGAGATTACCACACAAGATCCAGGATATCTCCACAACAAAACTCACAAGGCCATCACACAGCCCATTATACCAACATCAACTCCATCAACCAATCAAGAGGCAGCAGCGCAGCCAACCAGCCCAGCACACCAGCCCTCACCACCAGTATTTATAGTGAGACAGCAGCTCCAATCACACACTGCTTGCACTGGCACGAAGCCAAAAGCATAGTATTCAGCTTTGTTCGGGTATTTTGCCATGTCATTATAGTTGTGCTTTTAAAGAAGCCTGATGATGGCAGATGAGATTCTGCTGAAACGTTGCTACAACTTTAAAAGAAATACCCGAACAAAGCTGAATACCATACATATGAGTCCCCGCGAAAACTATATATATATATACATACATACATACATGCACACACACACACACACACACACACACACACACACACACACACTGTATATGTATATATGCCGTATCTATATATATAAAAACAGTCTTATTTTGGGGGAAACACAGGTATTTAAGAATTATCTTAATTAGATGGAACATCTTTGTATCAGTTTAATAATGAATGAGATGAGGCTGAAAAAAGCAAAGCCTTTATAAAGCAAAATTATTCCACTCTCAAGAGTTGGTTGATTATCTTGACACACACAAAAAAATTGAAGTTGCCACTTTTCCAACTATTACCTGATAAAACTGGATAGACCCTAGGCAGATATTAAATAATGCGGCATTTCTCTAAAATTTTGAGATCAGATCACATTGGGTTACCTGAAAGCCATTTCTCCTAAAATAAATGTTTTTATTTTCTAAACTTTCAATTGTCGAATAGCGAAGGGTAGATTGTTTTCTTGCTCTTTTGTTTAAATTGAAATGTGCTGTAAATGTACTGTCTGAAATAACATGTATATTGTATGCTTCGTATTTCTACTACATGTGAATGGGGTTTAAATGATCTTAATGACTAACAAAACAATGTATTGTTATTTACATTTTCTGCAATGTTTGTTTAAATAGAAATTGCTGAATTCTTACAAACTATTTGCTAACTTCAGACATTTCTTTTATCTTTCAGGGATTTTGGCAGTCATGGATGCTTATAGCCTCAATTCTAAAGAAATCAAGCAAGGAGAATCCCCTGGTGTAGCCTCTGACTTGAATCGTTCTGATCAAGACCCAATTTACATTGGAGGATTACCAAGGTCAAGGACAGTAAGGTAACAATTAACCATGTTCAAGGAAAATCCTTAAGAGTAGTTGCACAAAATGTTCTCAACTATTCTGTGCATGCTAACTTCTCGTACCCAAATGTGCTGTCAGATGGTGCTCCATTCAGAATCCAAGAAAGAAATACTTAGGCTCCATTAATTAGAGAAAAGATATGTTTTACTGGAAGTCAAGTGGTAGCAACAAAAGAATTCTGAATCTTAGAAAATGAGCGCGTAAATCACATATACAAAGTGATGGCAACGTTCCCACCCCCAATAGTTCAATTGGCTCATCCAATTAAAAGTTGTGTACATCCTGACTTTTATGAAGAATTCAGTATTTTGTTCAATTTTAGCAGCTCAGTATTTCCCTTTATTAGGAAAGGGGTTCATAGCAGAACATTTGTGGGATGCATGAAGAACTTGGAAATATCCCGATCTACTTTTGACTTGCTTAAAAATTCATATGGTGTGAGAAAAGGCTGCATCCTAGAGGTAAGACATACTAACAGTTCTGTTCGCTAGATTTAAGCTGTTTGCTACTGAGAAATGAATTAATAATACATGATGACTTTATAATGACTAGCATGTTGACTGTTAAATAATCAAAAGCTGTGGTTTTTTAAAATTTAAAGTGATGTATTGACTGATAGTTCCTTTCCTTTTGCAATCTAGCCTATACGCAGCGCTAATATCTTACATAATGGTTACATTGAGTTGCCACCCAAACACCTTTTGGTGGAATCTGAACTTATGGCTACTTTTGCTACAAAGAACTCCAGTGGAATCATTCTTGTGGGGCTTAGCAAAGGTGAAGCAAAACGAAGACGCAGGCAAGTCCATCTTGTGAGTACCCAGTCATCTTTAATTTTACGTTTTTAATTATTTCTGGAATGGATCTTGAGTAATCTCTAAAAGGGCTGCTGTTTAGACTGGGGAAAAAATCACAGACCATCTTGGCAAGCCAGTTCTGCATTATTGCCAAGAAAATACAAGCCTGTGAAGTCACTAGACCTTGAGTTCAGTTCAGAGGAAACACAGATGTTTATCATCAGCTGTTAGATTAAAGGTTAGGGTAGCATTATAGAAATAAGGATGCTCACATATGGGAGTGTTTTCATTTGAATTCTGCGAATAAAATTGGGTTGGTCAGCACAATAAACATGTAAATTTTGAAAACATTTTGAGACAATGAAGGGAGCTTTCCCTTTTCTGTTAGAAACTGGATTGAGTAGAAGAGTGCACACCACTACGGCAAGTAGGTAGTCCTTCTCCTACAGCCATTTGTTCAGTGACCTTTTGAAGTTGGAATGGTCTCTACCGGCTGGTTGCAGCACCCGGCAATCATGTGATTGCCATTTGCAACCTTCCCTGCCGACTTCCAGAAAGTCAATGGAGAAGCTAGCAGGGAAGGTCACAAATTACTGGTGTAAGTCTCCGCCACCTATGCTTTCTCCCTGAGTCCCTTTGTATCATACTGCACCACTCATTTGTACACCCCTGCAACATAATTTCCATTCCCCACCATATCTTTGCACACCCTCCCTGTTCTGTCTGCATATCCTCCCTGACCTTGTACACCCTCTCTGACCTGTGCTGCATTCTTGTGCATCCTCCCCAACCTACAACCTTGTAAAACCTCCCTGACCCTATTGTGTCCTCTACTTTGGTTGTGGGAAACCGGCAGGAAGTTTCATTGCTGAATGACTGGGATTTGGATAACGACAACAACTTGGGACTAAAAGGATTGGAATTGCTAAGCAATGTGTCTGCATTCATCACCATATGGTTTAGCAATGCACTTAGACTTATATATCACTTCACAGTGCTTGACAGCCCCCCCCTATGCAGTTTACAGAGTCAGCATATTGCCCCCAACAATCTGGGTCCTCATTTTACTGACCTTGGAAGGATGGAAGGCTGAGTCGACCTTGAGCTGGTTGAGACTCGAACTGCCAAACAGTTGGCAGCCATCAATCAGCTGCAGGACTACATTCTAACCATTGCACCACCACGGCTTAGCAAATTCTAGTTCCAATTGCTGTCATAAGTTGAGGCCTACCCGCATAGTTTTGTGTCAAACCCATTCTCCCAAAAATAAAATAATAAAATAAAATTCCAAGACAGACAGAGGAAAAAAGAGAGATGCCCTTCCCCTCTCCCCACTTTCCACATTTTAACAACATGCCTAGCAATAATGGAACTATTTTTTTTTTCTCTATTCCTTGTAGCCCTTTTTCTCCATCATGCTAGTGAATGGTCACTTGGCTGTGCAGGTCCTTGCTGGTGACCGAGCAAGTGCAAAAAGGGTCATGGTCAAGTCTAATAATGGAACTTACAGTGATGGAAAAGAGCATTCTGTTATCCTTACTCGGAATAAGAGGTACAAGCTGAAGTACCAATTTAATTACCATTTATGCTACCTACTATGTTGTCTAAAGAATTAACTTGCATTATTTCAGAAAAATAATTTACAGTTTCCTGTTCTTCAAAGCAGTTCAGTTTCCTGTGTTAATTATTTTTTGTATCCAGCTACTGATTAAAACGTGTGTGATTATTCCCATTATAATTTGTAGATGCTTTGACTTCCAAAAGCAATGTTACCAAATATTTGTAGAACATAAGACAACTTTAAGATGTCTATGCTAAGAAGCCTTCAGGTCTTACATATTAAAAAAAAAAGCCTACAAGATAAATTAATCAGAAAGTCATTAGAAAGTCTGATGTTTCATAGTAGCAAGTCTCCAAATATGTTGGAGAACCAAATTTATGCTCTAGTTATTCAGTGTGGATTATAAAATTTACTTGATTTCTCTTCCTTGAAATTATTCTCTTGAAAAAAAATGTTACTGAATATTATTTCTCTCTGTTTTCTCCCCGCTTCTTTTGCTGCCCAGAATAATAAGTGTGCAAGTGGATGAAAGTAAACCTGAAGAAATTAGACTTGGACTCATGGCAGAAAGCAGACCAATTAATATATCAAAGCTCTTCATTGGTGGAATTCCTGCTGAAGAAAGCATTTCAGGATTAATGATGATGGATTCTTTCTATGGTTGTATAGCTAATGTGATATTTAATACCGAGTAAGTTATCATCCTGGTTATTCCAAAGGTGCTTTTTCCAAAAGGTGATTGAATTTTCTTGGGTTTTTTTTTCTTTGAAAACCCTTCGCTTCTCATCCAAGAATGTTTTTTAGTTCTAAATAATATATATTTCATATAAGTTATTTAATTAACCAATGGATGAAAAGTTACATTATTTTTTTAAAAAATAATCTTTATTTCAGTTTTACTATGCTATCTCCATGGTAGAGAAGGATTCCTTTATTTATTGAAGGGCATCATTTATTATTTTTACCATGATATGATAGTTCTGCTTTTTTTTAAACCAGAATATCTTGTCTGCCAAATGTCAGAGAAGATTAAACTAAAACCACTTAACAGGCACAGAATAATCCAGAAACTCTGATGCAGACTTTTATGTAGAAAAGCCAAGAACCCATTATTAAAGCATTTCAAATATTCCTGAGTATCAAGTGCCAGTCTATTTATAGTGAAACAGTGTTGGAATTCTTGTTTCTCTTTTTCCTGCCTAAAATGCAATTGGCTGGCTGGCCCTCTCTTTTAGGCAGAAGGTCTGATGGCCCATGTCTTTTGCTTTATTAATGGATAGATTTGGTTTTAAATTGTTCTCCTTTGTCCATATATAGAACTGATTTTCACACCAAAATATATCTAAGTTGTTCAGTGGGATAGGAAAGAATATCATGCTTAGCTGGATAATTTTTGGTCTACAGACATATGGAACATGATAGCAAGTAAGATCTGTAGATATATAACATGGAAATCATGGAATTGCACAGTGTTGGATTGGAGTAAACATGATTAATTCTTTAGAATTTCACATCAAAGATATGTGAGAAAAGTAGCTAGCACTTGATAAATATTTTTGCGTTCTTAGTTTTCAGCTGAAAATAATTCATGTTTCTTGCAATTTGTTTCTTCTTTCCTTCCCTTCCTTTAAAAAAAATACAGATTTCTGGATTTCACCACTGCAGTAAGGTATGAAGGTGTTGATATGGACAGCTGCTTTCCTTCAGAGAAATCTAAGCCTGTTATTCAACCAGAAGACTTTGAAATCCGATCTGAAATACAGATGCTGCCAAGTTCTCTAAAGTCTTTTTCACAAGCTAAGGAAGTATGTTATGATGGTTATATCTGTGCTTATGATCATAATTAAGCTGGGAAAGAAAATTTTCTTTAGTTTCCAATTTCAATTTCATAGTTCATCTCTTTACCACAGGTAAATCATAAAGGCACTTTGTTATGGGTTCTTTTAACTATGCCCAATTTGGTGGGCTCAAGACACAAAAAGAATTAACAACAACACAGGTGCCTAGACAACAAACACAAGTATACATAGTACTTGCATACTATTACTCACTACTCTCCATTACTTATTCTTCCTCAGTATTGCTCCTTGGGAGTACTGTTAGGGAGAAAAAAATTTCTTTCTCGCTGCTTTCTGCTAGTTTACTTCCCTACAAACAACACACATAACTCCTTCTCTCCCCCTCTCTCAATTCTTTTACAATACATCTTTTATAGGCAGCTTTGCTGTAGTGCTACTGGTGAGAAAGCTTAAAGAGAAGGAAAGAAAAAAGCACAGGTTCTCTCAAGTGCTCTCTCACAGGGCAATTTATTAAATACAAGGGAAAGTAATCCTATTAACCATATGGAATTAATTCATTTACTTTTCATTAAATATACACAGAAATAAAATCAATTTTATTTTTATTTGGTTTTTATCTGATTTCTGAATGTTAGTGTGTGTTTTTGCAACTGTATTACTGTATCAATAAGTATAATTTTATATAAATTTAGATATAAATGACTTCAATTATGTGTCCTTGTAATCATAGAGGTAAAAATGATAGAAGCTATTCTGTACTTGGTTCTGCTGCAGATGGTCTTGAATGTAGGTCTAGTTTTTCTTTTAAACATGAGGATATATCACAAATTCAGTTCTTTTGATCATCAAAATGAGAAAGTACCACTGTGCTGCTCTCTACCATAGTCTCCTACAAAAACTTGGAGCAAGTTCCCTGATTTCCAATTAGCAAGGCTTATTACTGGAATTGTAAGAAGCAAGATAACCATTTTGGTGTAGTAGTTAAGGCACCAGACTTATACCAGGGGACTGTGTGTTCTACTCCCACCTTAGGTATGAAAGCTGACTAGGTGACTCCCTCTGTCTATCTGTGAATTCAACCCACCTCACAGGAAAGACATGAAAATGGCCCTTTGTTTTTTTTAAAAAAAAATAATACTACCACAGTTGCCTGAAGAGATAAAAATCAGGCTTCTGTTGTCTTGGATTCTGATAATTTGAAGATGAAATTTGTATGTAGTTTGGGGTATCATCAATATTCAGTAAAACAAAAGAATGAGTATTGGACGGAGAATGAGTTCATTTACCTCAGTTATTTTGTTTACAGAAACAGTGTTCAGAAAATGGAGAGCTGAAGTATGTTTCCAATGCCCATCAGTTTGGCGTTACCAGAAACAGCCATTTAATGCTACTTTTCAATCAGTCTACAGTAAGAAAAAAGTAGGTATATCTTTAATTCTAACAGGAATTCTTAACAGATAATCAGAGTTGGAAGGGACCTTGTAGGTCATCTAGTCTAACCCCTGCCCAAGCGGAGACCCTACATCATTTCTGACAAATAGCAGTCCAATTTCTTCTTGAAAGTCTCAAGTGATGGCACTCCCACAACTTCTGAGGGCAAGCTGTTCCATTGGTTGATTGTTCTCACTGTCAGAAAGTTTCTCCTTATTTCCAGGTTGAATCACTCCTTGTTCAGTTTCCATCCATTATTCCTTGTCTGGCCTGCAGGCACTTTAGAAAATAGATTGACCCCTTCCTCCCTGTGGCAGCTCCTCAAATATTGGAAGACTGCCATCATGTCTCCCCTGGTCTTTCTCTTAACTAGACTAGCCAAGCCCAGTTCCTGTAACCATTATTCATATGTTTTGGTCTCCAGTCCTCATATCATCCTGGTTGCTTTTCTCTGTACTTATTACTTTACTACTGTAATTATTGCACAGAATTGGTCCACTACATGTGAGATATTACTCCAATGTGCAGCTAGAAAACATGAAATTAAAGGATAACAATTCAGAGAACTACCTAGACAATATGTGGCACTGTTAAATTCTACTCATTCCTGTTGGGTTATCTATTGCCACATAACAAGAATCTATTTTTCATTCATTTTTTAAAAATGCTTTTCCTGCTCCTATATCCGTATAGTAAAATAATTTTCTGAATATTAAAGATTGGGGGTGGAGCAGGCCTTGACTGAGATTGTTCTCTGTCAGTCATATATAGAGTAGATGTTATATGAACTAGATAAAATTTGCATTAAGCACTTTATTTAAAAAACAGCTTTAAAAGTTCAGTGATCTTTCTCATAGCTTTTTAAAGAAATAAAAGTTATTTCCATTACAACAGACAAAAATTTTAAATGCAAATTGGAATATTGTACAGTTTACTATAACTCCTTTTCCTTAGTTTCTGACTATTTTATTTTCTTCCCAATGGATTTCTTCATGTGTAATAGCTGCCTAGAATTTTATCTTTCTGTATTCTTCTACAGTAATTATTCACCTATTTACTATCCTGTAACACTCTGAAAATGGAAGTATTTTCATTTATGACTACTCCAGTTAATGTTAGGGGAATTTCCCATTAGAGGGAACTAGAAACCAGTGGAAAGTTGCCAGTATTATCTGTAATGCCGCTCCAGGGCATCTGCCAACCTTCCAGAATAGCATAGGTGAGACTATTTAGACTTGGAGGAAGAAGGCTCACAGAATATTTGAACCAAATATCCTTGCAGGATCTACTTTCATGAAGATGGTGAAAGTGGTCTTGTACCATTATGCCATAAACTCTGCCCTTTTCGTATTTGTTTGCAGTGTAATAAGCCACACAATAAAGTGACGGGGTTTGAACTACAACAAAGCAGCACAGCTTTCATCAATTAGTTTATCTTGCTTCCTTTGGAATGCTATGTCTCTGCCGAACATAGCAACAGCAATAGCATTTAGATTTATATACCACTTCATAGTGCTTTACAGCCCTCTCTAAGTGGTTTACAGAGTCAGCATATTGCCCCCAACAATCTGGATCCTCATTTTACTGACCTAGGAAGGAGTGATTAAAGGCTGAGTCAACTTTGAGCTGGTGAGGATCAAATTCCTGCCAGTTAGCATAATTAGCCTGCAATATTGCGCTGAACCACCTCAACATGCTTGAATGACAACAATTTACTAAACTTGTATGCCACCTGACTCTTTACATCTCTGGGTAGCTCACAACAGTCCAGCCTAGAATATTTATTGAATTTAACATTATTTTCTGTCTTTCAAAAGAAAAGATGCTGTTTTCAATGGACTTCACAGGATGTATTGAAATGTCCAAACTTTGATCAGATCCATATCTTATTTTGTAGGTTTTCTGTTCAATTAAGAGTCAGGACCCTTGCTTCTAGTGGCCTAATATACTACACAGCTCATCAGAAGCAAGTTGATTATGCAGCCCTTCAACTACAAGAAGGAAAGCTTCGTTTTTCATTTGATCTTGGAAAAGGACAGTCGGTAGTTTCTCATGGAGCAATGATCAGCGATGGAAAATGGCATAGGGTACATTTCTTAAATTCTTATATTCAACTGCCCAGATACATAAATGTTTTGTTATATTTAATGCCTAAGGGGGGGAAATGTTGCATTAGGTACACAATAGTTTTTGCATTTGACATATTTGGTTAATATATTTAAAATCCCAAACAACCGTGAAACAAGAATATAAATTTCTGCTGGTCACAAATACATATATGGAATACTATTCTTAGTTGCATGTTTCTAAACTATGAACAACTGTTCACAATTAATGTATCTTACCTTACAGGTGGAAACAGATTATGCTAAGAGGAAAGGTGTAATCATAGTTGATGGGCAGGCTACTGAAGCGGTCAATGTTTCAGGTGACGGAAACACCTTGGATGTGGATGGGAAATTGTACTTGGGGGGTCTACCCTTAGGTTACCTTACAAAGAACCTTAGAAATGTAAGGACTTTACTTTCTTATTGATCCTTTTTGTGCCAGGTATACCATATCAGACTATATTCCATGTCAATGTTCTGCTGATCTGAGGAAGTGCTGTAATTCCACTGGGATGTGAAGTTTTTGTCGGGTGGTGTGTTTTGTATATAAATCAGCTCACATCAGCTCTAGAAGAAACATTGTGAAGATAATTTTGCATCTCCTCTGATGGGTAACTGGTTATTTCCATTGATAGGACTTGTGCCATATTTAGGCTCCAGTATTTTCCCTCCTTAATGTTGTCTTGCTCGATCCAAGGGATTTCTCTGTATATATCTTTTGCAAACACAGCAGGGCACTAGAGGGAAGGGGCTGATTCATTTCCCTTTGCCATTAGCCAAGTTGGGAGGATGGGAGTGAGTTCTGAACTATTCAGATGACTCTCAATAGCTAGAATTGAGGGCAATTGTGCCAGTTCAAAATTAATTGGGAGACTAGTGAAGTGTAAATAGTGGTTGTTATTAGTTGTGTGGAAGTTTCATAGGAAGGATAGGAACTGTTGTTTACCATGAGCTGTCAAGTGATAACATATAGAGTGATTTAGGAAATGAATTCCCACTGTAATATATTTGAATGGATTCTGGGTAATGCTGATAATAGGTTCATTTTCTTACATGCTATTTTGCTATTTTATACTTGCTTATCCACATTTGATCTGAAATATTCCAGTTCCTCTGTTTGCATTTTATGTCAAATAATAGGACTGGTTTTTGTTTTTGTTTTTACTAAATTTGTTAAAAGATATCAAACATGTCTATATCTGAAACAGCATGTTCAGCTTTTCCAGTAACCATAATAAGCAGGCTCATGGTCATAGCCATAACAATAGCAGTATTAAATTGCACTCTATGGAAAGAAACTATTTTAAACTGGAAAACAGATGGATTCCCCAACATTTTTTCAAAATAAAACAACTCTTGTAAGTCAGATTTTGATCTCCACAGCGGTAATGGAAAAGAGCAGAATTAATCTTTTGCTGCACTGTTTTTCTATCCTAAATCTTCTCCTTCTTCCAAGTAACTATTCAGATTTACAATAGAAAAAAGCATTGTTGTTTAGACTGCATCTGTTTCCCCCACAAGTTGTTCCAGATAGATGAAAGCAAGACTCAGACCGACAGGGCAAGGTCAGAAGCATAAAAAAATGGCTGGGTGAATGACTGCTGATCATAGATTTTCTGTATCCTATCTTATTTCCCTCATAAAATGCAAAGGTGTACCTGCTGTATTATAGTTCAGCTCTCTTTCCCTGCCCAAATCTAAGATTTCCCAGTCTCTGGGCTGTGGCCCACTACACTATTTAGAATTGGGCCACACGAGTGGCTGGCTGGAGTGCATGCACACACACAGCTCAATCTGTGCAGTGGGCTGGCAGGCAATCGCACAAGTCGAGCTGCATGCACATGCATTGGCTCGCTGCTCATGCAACTTGAGCAGCATGCACATGCGCTGATCTGCCGTTTGCACAGCCCAGTTCCCTCTCCTCTCCCTCTCCCAGCCAGGCCACCAAGCTGCAATGGGACCTATGTGAAAACAAAAAGCTATATAAAATGATGTGCAAATTTACCACAAAATTTGAGTGACTTCCTCTAATAGATGTCTGAATTTCTCAATGATTTAATAATTATAAAGTAGCAAGGCTCTGAATGATACATCTCTGTGGGTAATAACAGATGTCTGTATTATACACATTTTCTATAGCAATGGTTCTTAAGCTTAGACACTTTAAGACAAGTATGCTGGCTGGGGAATTCTAGGAATTGAAGTGCACAAGTCTTGAGGTTGCTAAGATTCAGAAACACCGTTCTACAGGAGTAACTACACTACCAAATTGTCTTTGCAGGTTACTCACAGCATTCCTGCATGCATTAGTGAAGTAACCATTAATAGCAAGCAGTTAGATAGTCTGGTCTCAACTTTTGCTGTGAATAAGTGTTATGCTACAATCCAGAAAGGAACTTACTTTGATGGAAGTGGTTTTGCTGCTCTTGGTAAGTAAAGTATTATTTTATTCCCCCTCCCAATATAGGTGTAAAATGAAATATAGAAAATATCCAGTAACATTAAATGTATTCCTCTTGTTCTTTTATCTCCAATTCTGTGTTATTGTAGCTGCTGGTAGTGAGTAAGAATCATATAATTTCCTTTACTCAGAAATAGAATGGCTTCATTGAAGAACAAGGAAATCTCTGTATTGCAGACAACTTCTGTTTCCAATAAAGCCAACCCACTTGTCTAGTTCAAGGAGAGACTTAAAGTGAGCACACATTCCCACCTAGATAGCTGTGTTTTTTACAGTAACTTTCATGTATAAAAAGATAAGTAGGAAATTCTTTAAAATGGAGGCCTATCATTTTCTGTAAACTGCTAGTGAATTGTCATTTAAACAGAACTTTAGTTTTGAAGTTGGACTAGTGTAACTTTTTGCAGATGGTTCAAGAAGCTCTTATTTTTATATTTATCCTTATGTCTTTATTGTTGTTTTGGTCAAATGATCATTAGATTGGATAATTCCTGGTCTGCTCACTTGGTCAGGATCGCTTTCGAGAAGAACTATTTGTGATATACAGTACTAAGCATTTCTATTAGACAGGCTTCTAGTGCAAGAAAAGGGAAGCATTGTCTTTGGAGCACAAACCAAGATATGTTAGATTTATGGTTTCCATGCAACATACGGACACCATGCAATATGGAGGTCTAATTAATATGGATTGGGCGTGCAATGTATTGTATTATTTTATTCTAAACCTTTTCTCAAAATTATTTGGATCTTCTTATAATGTCAGTTATAGACAACAATTCTCTAACTTAATTATTTCACTCTCTCTTTTGCAGTTAGGGAAGGCTATAAAGTCAGATCTGAAATTAACATTACATTTGAATTCCGTACAAATGTTGTGAATGGAGTACTTCTTGGAATCAGTAGTGCTAAAATAGATGCCATTGGACTGGAGATTGTAAATGGAAAGGTAGGTTTTGAAATGGGTATACTGCAATAAATTTGCCCTAATAAATATTAAGTGGTACCTAAACTGATGGATCTGAATATATATAAGAAATATGCATTTTTTGAGAGAAAAGCTGTGGCAATTATTAATATATAATAATTATTCTGGAATTAATATGTTTTTATGATCTCTGTGAAACATATCTGGTTATCCTACAGCAATAGACTTTTTTTTATTCTGAAAACTAGCTTTAGATTATTAAGCCAATTGCAATTTTCTATTTATACATATTATACATAGGAAAACAGAAATGTTATACTAAAAGAAACAGTTCCATTGGTGATGGTGTGAGAGCTTTGAAATAAAATTATGAAATAGATGAAATGATAAAAAACCAATTTGAAGGCAAATGCCTATGATTTTACAAATATATTTATAATCTTGTCTTCAGTGAAAAGTTCAGTGGTTAAAATAAAAGAAATTATGAAAAAAAAATACAAAATGCTCCCAGACCAACATTAGGAATTGTTTGAAAAAAAACGTTGATGTTTATTTTTGCATGGACCATACTCCAAAAATAATCATCTTTACATCCATCAAGATATCACCATTCCCTATAGTATCAAAGGAAGTCTCCACATTTCCCCCTTTTCAGAATCTCTTATGAAAGTTGGTCCAAACTATAGTTAACCATTTTAATCAATTACTGGATAGCAGAAACTAACATTAAAGCTTTCAGGGAAGATACATAGTCAGTGTATGTCTCTTAAAGCTTGTCTGTGCTTCACCATTGTACTTAGAAATGTATCTATCATAAGTTATCAAAGGTGGTGGTGGAGGAAAAATGATTGTAATGTAAAACAAATCTTTCAAAATAGAAATAGGACACATTGAATTAGTTGTTTCTTGGCAAAATGCAAAGCTAAGAAAGTCATATTAAATGAATATTGATTTAATAATTACCCAATCTCCCAGAAGTTATGAAAATGTATTGGATTAAAAGAACCATCTTCTAGCTCTCCATTTGGCTGTTTGGTTGTGATTTATTTTGTTTTTGTAGATTTTATTCAATGTCAATAATGGAGCTGGCAGAATAAGGGCTTCCTATGAACCAAAAGGAATGACTAATCTGTTTGATGGACAGTGGCATAAAGTGCAGGCTATGAAAAACAAGCATCATATTGCTCTAATAGTCGATGGAAATATGGTTCAGACTGATAATCCACATGTTCATTCAACCTCTGCAGATACAAATAACCCCATTTATATTGGAGGGTATCCTGGTATGTAATTTTACTCCTATTCAAAGCAAAGCAGGAAAAAATCTTGACTTAATATTGATTTCTTGGACATTTTTCCGAGTAATTAATGTAAAAATAATGAGCCATATAAAGTTAATTCTCTGAAACACGAAGAGTATTAAAACATCAGTGTCCATTTATCAAATTTTTCTGGTTTTGTTCCTTTTCTTACAGCTTTATACCTCAGGCCGCCAGAGAATCTGTCTGAACACAATCCTGGGCTCAGACACCCATCTTGCCCTTAAGAATTATTTATTCATTGATTTAATAATAATATAATAATTACTCTTATGGTTACAGACCAGCATTTTTATTCACTGATTATATGATCAACAGGGTTCCCTTTATTGCATGAAGCTACTATATACAAATTAGATTGATTGAAGGAATTATTGCATGCTCTAACTTGGCAATTTATCTTCAATTATTGCTTCCAAGATTTACATTCAGTGTCATCCACACAGTAAACATGCCTCCTTTCATTTGTTTTCCAGCTGACATAAAACAAAATTGCTTGACCACTAAGAATTCCTTCCAAGGATGTTTGAGAAACTTTATGCTGATTAAAGCCCAGCAAGCAGATTTCTTGGACTTCAGCGAAGCCTTTGACCTGAGTGGAGTTTTTCCACATTCCTGCCCTGCAGCCTGACTACTAAATGGGAGGAAAAATGTTCCATTTTAAGAGGCTTTGTCTATCAACTCTTATTGAAAAAGAAATGCTTTTAATGATAATACTGATTTAAGCTATTTCCCTCTTACTTTTCCAGCTCAAGAAAAATATATTTTTAGCTAGAATATCTACACATTTTTAAAAATTAAAAAAAACGCTACATTTTCTGAAACTGTCTTTTATGGTTGGTGAAAGTTTTTTAAAATCAGTATTTACAATAAACCTTTTGTTAATTATTTAACCTTTATTACTTTGGCATATATGGGTCTATTTATAGTAAATATGTAATATAAAGTCCTATTCAACAAACAATTCAAGTCATTTTAAGTATGAAAAATAATTCAGCATACATTTAGTGATGAAAACAAATTAGTAGAAAGCTAATTTTCAACAAATTTTGCTCATAACTTTCTTTTATCCCTAATTACTGCTAAAATTGGTGCAGTTAAAATAGAAGCTGATTAACCTCAGACACATTTTCTCTAACACATTTAGCAAAACACAGGTAACTACCGGTGAAATCTACTGATGCTACCGCTGATACTGTATTTAGCTTAGGGGAAAAAATTAATGAGTGGTATAAATTGGAATAGTTACATACAAGTGTTGGCAAGTTGCCCCAATTTTGTTATCAGCCCAGAGTTACAAAAATGTAACCAAATTGCATACATAACAAACTACATTAATATATTTAATAGATTAATGAATTTTATATGGATGTTTTAAAAATAGATGCAGTAATTGAATGGAATTAACTTTGGGTTTGGGAGGGAAACCTGAACCAAATCAAACATACCCGATTCATTTTTTTTCCAGTCTTAATTTGCATACTAAAGTGATTCAGCTGAAATTTGAAAGTTTTAAGATTTTTGCAGAACAGATGTTTTGAGGGCTATTAAATAATGTTTATTTTCTACAAAGACTGCAAAACATTTCTAAAAAAAATTTGGGGGTGGGGAGCTTGAGTTTTGTTCTTATTTTGGGGCAAAATGCAGACATTTTGTTTCGTGTTATTATTTTTGCTTGGGTCTTAATGTTATGTTTCTCCAGAGTTGCAGATTTGGAGAATGGATATAAGCAAAAAGTGATTCATATTTTTAGAACTGTTTTAGAACGAGAACGAGAATGTTGACTGCCCAATCAATCTATGTATTATGGTTGTAATTGTTTGCATGCTTAATTCTTGGCTTGGACACTAAGGAACACCAGGCCTGGCTAATGTTTCAACCAGAGACCACCAGGATCCCAAGGCCATAAACTAGATTAAAAACATATTCAAGACAAAGAGACACAGGGTATTTTGATATTGTTGCTAAGGAAACTGTATGTATGTGATTTAATTTTTGAGAAAGTTTGTGTCGTGCATGTATGTATGTCCATGTATGTTCTCTGCACTGGGCCTTCCTTTTTTAGACAGATGGCTATGTGCAAAAGTGTGCTTGGATGTTTGTTAACTGCTATTTTGTTTGCAGGCAGGATGATAAAAGCAAAATGTGTGCACTCCACATGTGCATTTGGAAAAAGCCTCAAGGTCATGTACAGAAGACTGTCCCCCCCCGCCTCCCTTCAGTTAATTTATTTGTGGTCTGGGTTAATTTTTTAAAATCTTCTTTAAATCATCCTTTTTACTTCCTTCCCCCCTCCTCCCACCAAAGATTGTCTTAATAGGCACACAGCACAAATCCTAACTGTACCTAATTTTGTCGTTGTTCACTGTTTAAATCTGCTGTTCTCTAAGGCCTAACACACACAAAATTCTGAAGTTTTGTTTCATTGAAACATTAAATGTTTGAATCGTGCTAGTAACCGTTCTTTGAGCAGATCTAACTTGTTCCAAGTACAAAACATTTGTTTACTGTTTGTATGACTGCTTTCTATATTGTACAGTAGGCATTAACACTGGGATTCCACTAATTTTCTATTCTACATTGGATTTTGCAGATCAGTTTGAAATATTTAATCTCATAAAATGGCCTGAACTACTATATGATAAGTATGGGGCAGAGTACATGTTTGAATGTTCCTCTGCAGCCATCTGAACAAAAAGGTATCACATAAGGGACAAGACTAAACAATGATTAGCCTTTGGCTTATGTTTTTCTATGCATGACATGCATGATTTGCCATGCATCAAATCAGAGTACAGTCCTATTTCTGGCACAAATATAAGGAACAAATACCATTACCTATATGACTGACCTAGTTGCTTAAGAATAAGTGGGATTTATAACAGTGTATTGAATGTTATGCAAATTATATGTTTATATATCACTTTATTTTAATAGATTAAGGGAGTGTATCATTAATAAATTATTTTTAGACTATATTTTAATGCAAGATTCAATCAAATATATTAGTGGTACAATTAATTGTGGTTCATGTTTAACACAGATTAAATACAGGTTAATTCTTTCCAAAACCTTTGCATTCAGTGACAGTGTCTGCATTCAAACTATGAAAAATAGCCAATGGAAACAAACATTAAATTACTTGACTCAGCAGAGTACTGTTACTAGAGAAGTATTTTAAGACTTTCCAAAGGGGATACATTTTTTACATTTACTTCAAATTACTTTGAGTAGAACAACAATAAAACGAAACCCCTCTGTGTGTTTTTTTCACATAGTACATTTAGATTTTATTCCACACGTTCAACATTGGCTAACATTCAGATTTAGTCTCTTGAAAAGACGCAAGAACCTCAGTGGTGAATTATCGTTAACTATGATGATAGTTTCAGCAATTTAGAAGGCTGTCCTGGAAGAGAGCAAGTATCCAGAACGTTAAGGACAATATTAATTTGACTGAAACTTTTCAAAGCAAATAGAAAATTTGGCCTATTTGCTACCTTCAGAGTGGCATTCATTGTATATGCCTGGTGGTATTATACTGCATTTTATTAGTCAAGAGTAAAAGGGTGGCTTCAGTTTTTCATATGTTTTTCTTGATACTGAGGCACGATTACAAAAGGCTATCGAATGGACACTTTTACCTGTAGGATATAAAAGATGGAAGCAGAATAGAGGAAAAAGCAAGGAAATAAGTCTCTGCATAGAATGTCTCCCTTATGTATTTGATAAAACATGGAACATTGAAAGTAATGATATTTTGTAGATGCATTTTTCAAAGAATAATACAATAAAACTTTTAACTCCAGATCATTTTAAAAACATGTAGTCCTTGACATCTGACCATCTGTTCAATGAACATTCCCAGTTACGATAGCACTGAATAAATGGTGGTTATTACTAGTCTTCTGGCCATCCCAGCATCTCCATGGTCGCCTTATCGCTAACTGGGTGCTTAGCATATGATTGGTTGCCAAGCACCCTGAGATCACCTAATTACCATTTGCAAGCTTCCATGCTAGCTTCTACAGAAAGTCAAAGTGGAAGCCAGAGAAGGTTGCAAGTTAGTGGGTAAATCGACCCACCCCAGCCTGTACTCACACCATGCTGGCCACTTGTGTATTCACCATGCCTGGGCTGCACCTCTTGCACAACCCCTGTACCATTTGAGCCACCAAATTACAAGCAGGCAGTAGAAGTAGCCTGCATTACTGCACTCTAACCACTGTACCATCATGGCTCTTAGACTATTATTTAGATATTCTTACATTCCGTTTTGTAGTTTATGGGAAATAACCATACTGTTAGAGTTATTAAAATATAAGAAAAATATCAAAGTAACTTCATGCAGTAGACCTATACCCCTTGAACTAGATCAGCAATTTCTCCCTTTTACAATGTGTTCAAATTAGTTTTGGTTTATTGAGAAACACAATATGATTTAATAAATATTACTAAATATTAAGATTTTATTACAGTTTGCAAACATGCTTAACTAGGTTGAAAACTCTAAGCTGGAGTCACTTGATTGACCCAATTAACCAAGAAATATTAAAATCCAATCTGGTCTTGTTTGCTATCAATTCCACAATATTATGCTGGATGCTCTGCAGTGAATAAGAAGATGTTCCAGAGAGTTATAGCACAAAAAATCATCAGTTGCTCTCTTTCTTCTTTGGAAGAGATTGTGAAGATGAGACTCCTCTTGAGAACACTAAAAATCTCCACAGACCGTTCTCATCCTGGACACTCATATTTCACTCATATAGGTGTCTTAAAATGAGGACTAATAGATTGAGAAACAGTTTTTTTTCCCAGGGCAGTAATTGTCTTGAATCAAACTCTGTGATTTAGTCCTATTATTATAATTATTTTAATTTTTAAATACTCTGTAGTGTGATTGTGATGTGGCGTTTGGGGCACTGTGCTGGAGTAGCTTTCAAATTTCATTGTATTCGTGGAATGCAATGACAATAAAGGTATTCCATTCTTCTATTATGAGAACTATTTGCCAGAGGGGTAAACTGCCTTGCCACTGTCCTTCATTGGGATGAAATCTTCCAGATGCCTGAAAAACTGGCTTCTCCGCATTTTGTGTGTGATCATTTTGCTATTCACAGCCATTAAAATGGGGAAGAAATGGGTGGAATGATGCATAATTGCATCAAAGTGCCACCATGGAAGGAAAGCTTGGAAAATGAGGTGCCATTCTGCTTAGCAATGATCGGAAATCATGGCTGCTGAATGTTTGACAAGATCATCTGAGATTATGTGATGCCACAAAGTGTGTCGATTAGCTGGGAGAGGAGATGAGTGAGTCATATTGTGTCATGCAGATAAGGTTTTTTTTAAGTTACATTTGTTTTAAGGCAAAACGTTTTTAGCACCTTCTCAATTTTCCAGTTGAAACCATTGGGCTTAAAAGCACTAAACATTTAATAAGAGCATGCAAATGATATACAATTCCTTCAGAGAGCTGATATAATAAAGGAATAATGCAAAAACACACAGTCTATTATGTACCATAACACCATTGACCTGGGCCTCATTTTGAAATAATTCAGATTTAATGGACAAAATATACCAGGTCCAAATTTTATCTGAATTTCAAGCAGCTATGGTCTTGGCCTAAAACAGGGGTTTCAAACTCTCGTCCTTATATAACGTATTGCATCTTTTTCCCCCTTCGCTAAACAGTATGGGCGTAGCCTGCGCATGATAAATCTGGCCCATAGCCCGCAAGTTTTACAGTCCTGGCCTAAAACAATGAAGTGAATCTGTTTTTTGGAAAATTCACTCAGTCAACATTTGCTGCTTCCCTTCGAAATGGGTATTTACGACTCCCAGTTTGTTTCTCATCGGTGTCGGTGCGGAATCCGTGATCGTGCACAGTTTCGCCCGAGCTCACTTGCTGGAGGGTCCCGATTATGGACCAGAGCCACCTTGGTGGGGTGGTGAAGAAGGGGGGAATCGCCTGGAGGTTGAGGGGAGCTGCAACTCCCCTCCCTGACAGGAAAATCCCTCCCAAAAGCAAGCTGCAGTGGTGGTCTTAAAATGGCCACCACGAACACGAAGAACATTTCGGGAAACTACGTTTTGTGCTGGAGAGAGAAGTAGCGAGCAGAGTGTGAACCGGGCAAAGAACATCGCTTTTGGGGTACCCCGGTATCAAATTAAAGGGTTATTTTGGAGGAAAGTGTGTGGAAGCAGCGACCAGAGAAGGGGTGAGAAAGAAAATGGGTCTTTAAATTTGGATTTGACTATTGTATTGGACTAATCTGGAGGAGAAATTTAAAGGAAAATACACTAACACAACAAAGGTTTAAAAATTAAACTAGACAGATATTGAACTGTGGGGAGTTAAAGGACATAACTAAATGCTGGAATTGAATGTTGAAAAGAATAGCTAATTATTGAAATTAGTGAACGTAATAAAATATTCAACAAAGAAAGTTAAAAAGAAAAAAAAGAAATGGGTATTTACAATTGTATCAGTAATGTATTTTTACCAATATTTATTATAATTTTATGTATTATTCCTTTTCGCACCACCCATCATTCTGCCATGCTACTTTCATGTGTTTTCTCATATGAGAGGTACCACTTTTATATTTAAACAAACTTTATTGATTACAAAACCAAAATATCAAACAAACACAACACACAGAAGAAGAAAAAAAAGGAAATAGAAAAAAAGAAAATGATTAAAAAAAAACCTAACAGTTCTACTATCGACAGTCTATGGTTCCTTGTTTGTTATCAATATTGGTGATACATTTACAAATACATTTTATTGTGAATATATAATTACTACCTCTTTTACATTTTACGTTGTTTACTAATATATTTTCTATTTTTGTTCTATCCAGTCATACCAGCATTCCCAGCCTCTATAATAATCTGATGTTTCTTTTTCCTTAAGTGCTAAGGTTAACTTGTCCATCTTTGCACAGGCTGTTATCTTCTGTATAACCATCTCCTCTGTTGGAATATCTGCTTGTTTCCAACACTGTGCAAGGGTTATTCTGGCTGCAATAAGAATATGCAGTATTATGTATTTGGCATTTTTAGGAATTTGTCTATTAAGTATCCCCAATAGGAAGAATTCTGGTTTTAATTCAATTTGCTCCGCCATTATTTCCTCTAACCATTTTTTTATTCTATGCCAGTATCTTTGGGCTTCAGTGCAGGACCACCACATATGAAAAAATGTTCCTTGTTTCTTTTTACATTTCCAGCAATTCAGATTCATGTTAGGAGACATTTTCGCTATTCTCGAAGGTGAAAGATGCCATCTATAAAACATTTTATAGGCATTTTCTTTATATGCTGCTGATTTTGTAATTTTATTATTCCTTGTCCAAACCTTTTCTCATTCTAATAATGTAATGCTATGTCCTATGTTTCTGCTCCAAGCTATCATGTTGCCTTTGACTACTTCCTCTTCTAATTCCGTCTCTAGTAAATAATTATAAAATTTAGTTATATTTTTTTTATCTGGACCTAATAAAATTTTATCTAATTGTTGTGCCTTAGTATAAATTTCAAAATTTTTCTTGTCCTGGCTATATCTATTTTGAATTTGCAAGTAAGCCCACCGGTCTACTTGTAGACCCTGTTCTTGGAGATCTTGCCAGGATTTTAAAGTTCCTTGCGCATCAAGAAGGTCTTTGTACTTTATCATTTTATTAAGATCTAGATTATTTGGGTGTATCATCGCCTCCATCGTTGAGATCCAGATAGGGATTTTTAAATATTTTTTTTTTATTTTGTTCCAATTAGCCAATAAGGAATCTCTAATTATATGTCTGTGGAAATACTTCTGCTTAATTTTCCCAATGTCCCATAAAAATGCATGCCATCCCCTCTGTAAATCATGGCCTTCTAAAAATAAGATCCTTTTATTTGACAGATTTACCCACTCTTTCAACTAGTGTAAGGAGGCTGCACCATAGTATAATTCCCAATTTGGGAGTGCCATACCTCCCCTGCTCTTCATATCTTGCATTGCCTTTAGGTTTATCCTCGTTTTTTTTTCCCTTGCCAGATAAATTTGGTAATTATCTTGTTAAGTTACACGCAGTAATTTTTATGTATTTTTATTGGTATTGTTTGGAATAAGTGAATAAATTTGGGCAGAATATTCATTTTTATAGTAGCAATCCTCCCTAATAAGGAGATTTGCAATTTAACCCATATCTCTAAATCTTGAGAGGTACAACTTTTAAAGGACACTCAGCTTTAATAGGCAGTGATTTAATCGAGTTATATTTTATGTAAACTTCAAAAAGAAATAATTTCCATAATATATTTCAAACTTTAAGCAAAAGAAATAATAAGAAAATATGTTTTGCACAAGGAAGACAAATAACTGGTACTTGCAAAACAACTCTTAGCTGGTGCTTGCAAAACAACTACAAGTAGTCCTCGATTTACAACCACAATCGAGGCCAAAAATTCTGTTCCTAAGTGAGGCATTTGTTAAGTGAATATTGTCCATTTTACAATCTTTCTTGTCACAGTTAAGTGAATCTCTACAATTGTTAAGTTAGTTACACAGTTATTAAGTGATTCTGGCTTTTGCATTGACTTTGCTTGTCAAAAGGTCACAAAAAACCAAGACATTGCAACTGTCATAAATATGAGTCAGTTGCCAAGAGCCTGAATGTTGATCACGTGATCATGGGGATGCAGCAATGTTTGTAAGTGTGAAAAATGGTCTTAAGTCACTTTTTTCAGTAGCATTGTAACTTAAAATGGTCACTAAACAAACTGTCGAAGATGGATGAATATGGTGTGGATATTAAACCTGAATGAATATGGTGTGGATATTAAATTTTAAAAGAACATTTTGTGAAGTATCTAACTACATTTACATTTTTTTCTGTACATGGGGATTCAACGTGGTATGTAGGTTCATCATTGGTATATTGTACATTAAATTGTGTTAGCTGTACAATAATAGGCAAAGTCAGAAAAAAATGATAATTTGCAATTCTATATACTGTTTATATTCATATACAATACACCAAATATATTTTACACAGTAGTTTTCCTTCTCATTAGTAGCTAGCAATAGGAACTGAGTCACAAATGTTGTAATCATATTTCACAATTAAAAAAATGTTCTTGAGCAGGAAAAAGTTATAGCATTCTGGCCAACTGCCCTTATTTTCTGTTTTAAAAAATGCTATGCCCTTCATATTGACAGCCTTACTGTTAAAATGTGATTCTTGGTTTTGGGATGCCACCGTACAACTCCCTTCTCAGGGGCACTGGGAAAAAAAAAATCCCAGTTTCTTTTCTCTTAATGTATATTTCAAATTGTATTCTTTAACCATATAAACTGTACCAATAAAACCAGTAAAATCGTATTCACTAAAAATAAATTATTATAACAAACTATTAATTGAAGGTCTCAGGTTCTATAATACTTGAGGATAAATAGCTTAGTTTATGTTAAAAATATACAGGCTACACCTGCTTGAGCTTCCTTATGGCAACATGGCTCCTGATGGAAAGCCTTCTGCACTGTTCTTTTCAGTTTGACCCAAACAGTCTGCCAACATGTCTTTAAAATATTGAACTTCTTTTTTCTTTAATTACCCACTCCGCTTGAGGATTGGCATGGTACACATCCAGCATATATGCATCTGGATCCAAACAGTGTTCCCCTGAAAGAAACATCAGCTGTTAAAAAAAACTTTGAAAAATCCTTACACTTTAGGATTACGCAAAGCATTTACAACCAGTGAAGTATCCCTTCTTGAAGTATTAAAGCAGCCACCCCTTTTGGAGAACTGATGTAATGCTTGGCCTAGGTGTTCAAAGTAGGATGTCTTGAGAAGCTTAGGCTTTGAGAAATATATACATCAATTCTATAGGCTGTGTAAAAGTTAGTGTGTAGACAGAAAATGCTGCAGTTGCCAATATAGAGGACAGATTACTTGACCTTCTACCTTAAGACTGAGCAGCTAGCTGACACACGGTCTTTCATCTTGAAGAATAGTTTAATTCTAAACTTTAAAAAAACCAATTAGGGTGAGTGTTTTTTTTTTTCAGATTACATCATGTCCTAAAATCACTTAGTAAATCCATTTACTTCCTCTGAGATGCTCTAATTTACAGTATTGAAATAAGCACTTATACAGGAAACAATTAAGACTTGCAAAACATCCACTTTGGTGGGCTCCCATATTCATATCTTGCTTTATAAAGATAAATGGATTAGGTACTAAAAGGAGTTTGAGCAATATTATGTAGCCCTATCATACTTGTTGCACATTCTACATTCTTGGCTGAATGTACAAACATAGCATCGACATAGTTGCTATTACTGAGATTTAAGTAAGAATTTACCTATATTTCCTCCAATTTCATATAAACTTTGGATTGGCATTTTCAATTCTTCTGATGATGCAGATCTAAGAATAGAAAAATAAAGCATTCTAGTAGCAAAGAGGTAGGTTTCTGATTAACTCTGGAATTAAAACTCACTATATTGTCTGGGATTAAAACATCGGAAAGAATTACATCTGTTATTTTTGTACAGAATCATTTAATCAAATAGTGCTTCTATATAAAATGGAATTGCTGCTAAAAATTTATCTTAAAATCTTCTGTGAAGAATCAACAGTATACTGTACCTAGCTTCATCCTGTTTATTTCATAATCTGATTGATTTATAGATCTCCCAACTCCATCATGATTCTGGATAGCTACATTTTACAACTATAATAAAATTCTGTGCTAATTTAGGTCAAGCATTTCTGGTGGAGTGAATGTAACATTATGCAAATTCTAGCTGTACATTTTTCTTCAAGATTCACTATGTTAAATCAGAGTATTACATTAATTCTCAGTAAATAAATGCAATTGTTGGGCACGTATATTGGAAATGTGTATCTTTCTCTTTAATTACAAATTACAAACAACTAGAACATACTGAAACTCTTTCTACATTGGTAGAGCAGATATTCACCTTCATAGACTTTGCATCAAAAGAAAGCTCAACTTTCAGCATTCTTCTGCCAATGGAACACTAGCAGCTGCAGTGATTTATGGACCCAAATCCCTGCTAATATTTGCTCGAATGGAGGGAAATTATGCTAGCTTTGGAACTTTTAAACTAATCCAGCTGTCATGAAAAGTGAGGCGCAATGGATGGTGGGAAAGAAAAAGTGAAGTTGTAAAGCAATAAAAAAAAAATATGAAAATTGTCTACCTGCTGTCTCTGTGAGCACCTAATGAGACTTTGCAAATAGAATTTTAAGAACCACGGGTTTTCTCTTAATTGCTCTGCCTGTTGAGAGGAAATGCTGTTCAGAGGGCCAGTACAAAGCTAGTTTTTCTTAGCTGAGCCAGAGAAACTATAATTAAAACCAGCTTGTTGTAATTTTTAGATTCATCCATTTTAATATGAGCAATTTGTGGGGGGAAAGAAACACTGGTGAATGGGTCTCATCTGTGTAACACTTGGCTTCGGCTGATAGTAGAGCAATTCTTTTTTTAATTTCCCTTTTGTTTCTTGGCTCGGAGCTCAGTTCCTAAAGTTAGTAAACTTGGAAATTATTACATGAACCAGTGAATGAAGCTGTAGATTGATGCTCCGGCAGAGCAATCACATGGATGCTTCCATTAATAAAGACTCATCTTAGCCTTGCATATTGACTAGAGTCAAATACACATTCAAGCTTTCTTTACTTCTAAAACCAGGTAAAGCCTATTTTAACAATGAAACTTGAATTTGGGCTATTTGCTCATTGTTCTGCTTCTACTTGCCTGTTTTCACAATAAAATCGTGCCACAATATCTTTGGCTTTTGTTTGATTATTTGGTTGAATTGCCATAGAAACTTTTGAATGTAGGGGAGCATGGACTCTTATCACACCTTCAGGAATATCAGACTACAAAAAAAAAGGAACAAACAATAATTTAGCTAAACAACTACAGTATTTAATATATATTATAGTACGATTGTAAACCATTATTGCATTTTCATGCCTCCTTTTCCTTATGGCAACTTTCTCTCCTGTACAAAGCCAATCCCGGTCTGGATACTTTCAGAAAAGACCAACCCTGAGAAAAAGATTGCAAAGGAAGAGGTAAAACAGCGAAGGCAGAGCATTTCACCGCAGAGCATTTTCACACTTCCAGGGTTTTACAGGGACAGCTACTGTACCTCTTAAGAACATATATGAGGTTTTGTTAGGATGCAGTGGATACAAGTGGGTGAAAAAAAATGGCTGTATTTCTGTAGTGTCACATAAAAAAGGAAGGGGGAAAGGACTTTGAAACTAAGTTAAATAGAGGATTTAAAAGAAGTAAGAAGTCTAAATTGAGAAGTGGCCCAAGTGAATGTAACCCTAGGAGGGAGGGTCTAAGACAACTCAGTGTGGTCAGCTGGAGATGGTTCCCTCACAATGGCCAAGTCCCCTCTGACAACTCATTGCTGTCATCATTGCAGGACAACTCAACATGGACAATTCATTGTGGGGACAACTTTCTGCTGGCGCCCAGATGGAGAGCAGGAGAAGTGGCCAGGGAGGCAAGTGAGTGAGTGGGTGGACAGAATGCACAGCTGTGGCAGGAGTGAGGGAGGGTGGGAATCTTCAAACCCAGAGAATTGTCTCCTCAGTGCTTTGCCATGTTGAGTTGTCTTGGCAGTGAGTTTGCAGAGGGGACTTGGCAGTGGCAAGGAGTTGTTGGCCGCACTGAGTTGTCCCATTTTGTCTAGGAGGACACAGCAAGTGTATTTCTTGCTTGCATGTGGGTTTTTGAACAATCCTTTTGTGTTTGCAAATGTAGAAAAAATCAAGAGACCTTATCAAGAAAATTTCAGGATTTGTACTACCGGTATTACATTACAGTATTATTGCAAGCTCTTATACTGAAGCAAGGGAATAACAACACAGTAAATTATAATAAATGCAAGAGAGAATTAGTTTATATAACTATAAGGGTATCAGTCAGAGTTTAGGGACATTCTTTGAAATGCAACAGCTTTACATACATATGGATCTAAGAAACTAGTGAGCACAAGTTAACAACTAACTTTAGAAAATAAATAATTGCTGGATCTTTTCCAATTGTATGTTGACCAAATGGTATACTGACCATTTACACAGTGTGCGAAAACCATATGTAAACAACACAGCACAGATTTATTGTGAACACTTTTAGTATTCCTGAATAAGCTGGGAAGTCCCCTGTCCCCTGAAGCATTATTACTCTATTCACATAATGCAATGGCCTATAAAATAAATTATTCACTTAATGAGAATTTCAATTACAATTTGATGGCACAAAAAGACAGTAATTTTATTACTGAAGTTAATACTAAAGTAAATTTCTGGTTGAAAAGGTAGTTGCAAACACAATTTGACTGGCCTTATACTAGGTACCTACAGATGTCCAATTTTTTTTTGAAAAGTATCAAATTGAAATAATTCAATTTGTAATGCTTGCTTCCAATCCTTAACACAGTTAGTACCACTGAAAGAAAAGAACAACTATTTAACAGTTTATTTCCATTTTCTGGGGATGCATAATTTAGAACTTCTGAAAACTAACATTTATGCTAAATTCATAAACGTTTTAGCTTACTGATCCAAGCACTATCCGTGTCCATCGCCTACTATGGATGAAGTAACTTTTGTCAATTATCTTTTGGCACACCAGATTTAAAGCCTTGCTGTAAATTTGGTCAAATTATAGACTTACAATTTATTAAATGTTCATTCATAAACACGGAGAATCCATCCATTGGAGCTGCCTAAATAGTGCATGGCAAATAGCTAGTTCATTTATAGCAGAATACTATACCTGCCTCCTGCCTCCTGAAAAATAAATTCCAATAACAAATGTAATTCTAAAGCACAGAGGCTTTGCTTAAAAAAATAAAAAGGCTAACCCCTTAAAAGGCAACCACTGGACTAAGTGCTATTCACTGAGCTTTAGTTAAGTTTTATTCTTTAAATAAAACTAATATAGATAGTATTAGCACTTCTAAATAAATAACTGTATGTGCAAATATAAAACTTTGATACCTAGGCAATTTTAACCCATAGCACTTAGATTGATTCTTTAAAGACTAGTTAAGCTCCTCTGGATGCCATTATATTATTTCATTTATTTTATTGCACATTATTTGGAATCTATGATGGTTTGTTTAAGAAAATTTATTTTCTTAATAAAATAACAACCTCTGTTCTTTCTGGTCTCTCCCGGTCCATAGTTTTCCTTCTCAATAGTTTTCTTACACCCTTGTCAAACATGAGCTGCTTTTTCATATTGTTCATTGCAGCCTCATTCATCTTTCTCACTTGAGTTATCAGAAATGTTGGGACCTAAATAAAAAAAAATAAAAGGAAGATAAGTTTACATGACAAATAGTTTTCTGAGTGTCATCAGAATCATAAAGGTAAAGAGTTACCCTGAGATAAGATGGACGGCCAATGAATGAATGGATGGATGGATGGATGAATGAACAAATAGCAATAGGACCAGTCACTTTCTTTCAGCTCTAGAAAAGAGTCACATCTGAAAAATCTTGTTAAGAAAACTGCAAGGAGTTGTCCAAGCAGTCTCCAAGAATCAGACACAAGTGAACGAGGTAAAAAAATAATTCTATAGCTCCAGAACCACCATTTTATAAGTGCTTTCACAGGATGAAAACATATATGGTTTCTCATCTTGGTGCCTGCTCTTTTCATGGCCACACAAATCAGATTTTATTTGCATCTACACCATTCACAAATAGTGTCATGGACAGAAGAGTATGAAAAGAGCAATACAGGAATCAGTGAGGTATAAATGTGGTATTATTTAATCAGTATTCCTTATAAATTCTTGTAACTTCTAAATATATGGGAAAAACTTACTACTAGGGCTTGGGAAGGCATGACTTTATTGTTGCTGAATTAACACCTAATTCAAACATAAATATCAGCATTATCTTGCAAGGCAGCTAACTTTACATGGGTATATAGATATTTTAACACCCAGACAAAAGGAAGATCTCTGCAAGAAAAAATGGTAATATTATTTAACAGTAAATTGAAATCATTACTTACCATCCATAGGATATCTTGGTATTTAATCAAAAGCCTTACCACATGGGCAGTGGTGGCTGCTGCTAGCATCTCTTCTTGATTGGCATGTTTGCCTTTGTAGATGAAGAGGTTTGGGGCAACAATCATGGAGACATTCCATAAAGTCATTTTATTTTTATTTTCATTAGCAACTACTTTCTTCAAAAACTGCAGAAGGGCCTAAATAAAAATCAATAAAATCACTGATATTTATTGATAAACACTGATGTTAATTGTATTTTGTAACTGTATTATATACTGTGACTGTATACAATAGTATAAAACTATATATTTAAGATATTTTCATTCATCCATCAATGTGTCACTCATCTCATAAGATGATCGAAGGTATCATTAAAATTGTGCAAACTAAAGGTTTGTTGTACAAATTATTCCATTTGGTGCATATATACCAGTACAAAGGGTTACCTACTAAGTAATCAAGTATGAATCACCCAATATCCTATATGATTCTCAACTCAATTTAATGTCCATTTGATTTGAAAAACTGAAGTTTCACTCAGCCTCATTAAATACATTTATAAAGCTCTTTTCCTGAAAATTCAGAGAAAAGGTTTGGCACTCAATAAATCATGGACACAACACTGCTGGTCTTTTCACTTTAAAAATGTAGAAATGATCTGGGAGTTTTGGAAGCTGGGAGGTTCCAGACTGAGGAAATTGCCTAAGAACAAGAAAGTGGCAGGTTTGTTGAGGCTTGGGGAATTTTGTTTATTGCATTTATTACTGGATTGCAGGAACATTATCAAATACAGATTGATGTCAAACCCTGTTGAACAACATGCCTACCTTGGCTGCATCGCGACTAGCATCGGGAAGAAGCATGATCAGCAAATGCAAAGCTTGAAGCTGCAGTTTGATTTTGGAGGTTTCTAAGAATGAAAGATCAGAAAAAGCCCGTAAAACAACTGAAGTGGGCTATCTGGTAGGAATCTAGCATGACATATAAAGCTGTGGTTTTTAGTGAATGTCACAGGTAACTGTTAAAGGTACTTGTCAAATAGGAAGATAGTGGCCCACTGAATCAAATAAGAAGTAAACTTCATTCAGTATTCCTTCCTCAATAGCTTTAAGGAATAGGACAGAAAGGAAAAGACAAAGACTGGTTTTAAGCTGTGACAGAGATGTACAATGGCAATGATATAAATTATATTTTGTTAAAGCTGTTAGCTGACAAGCTGTTACTAAAATTATCTTCAGTGAATGGGTTTAATTTTTTTAGGCATGTTGATTCTAGAGATTTTATTAATTCGTAATTTACTGATAAATTTCCAAATGTCTGAAATAATATAGCGTCTCCTGCTTGAGCAGCCGGTTGGACTAAAAGACTTCCAAGGTCCTTTCAAAATCTGTTATTCTGTATTCTGTATATCAAAATCTTCACTGTTCATAATTTGCACCTAAACCCAATGCTTATGTCAAGAACAACTCTACAGAAAAAAGTGCATATAGAATGACATCATTTGTGAAAACTAATTTTAAAAGGAAATAATAAGTAATGGGGATGATAAGTAATAAATATGTTAATCATGGGTGGAAAAACAATATGGACAATGGGACAAGATTAGCTTATATTTGGGAGAATAAGATCCTGAACAATCTATGTCAGATTTGTGCTATTCCTGAGTTTTAAAGTCATCAGACCTGACATTTGAAGTGACATCTGATCATTCTTGTGTCTCTTCTTTGATGATTGAATCCCTAATCCATTTAACTTTTAAATTTTTAGTTTCATATTATGCTAAATATAATTTTGTAATCAGTTAAGTGAAAATTTTGACAGTGCAAAGTAAAGTTCTGGATATCAATAACTTATCAAATATATCCCAAGAATGTACTAAGGGCATGTATAAAAAATTTTTAGAAAATAAAATGGTGATGTTTGTTGAAAAAGAAAGCCTTAGTAACATGGAGGTGGCAAAGAATAAACCAGGTAGTTAGAAAAAGTATTATAACTCTCATTAGTTTACTTTTTCATACATTGTGCCTATTGAAAAATACTGTGTATGTAAGATGATTAGTTTCTATGGGCATCCCGTTACACACATTCTACATATCAAGTTTGCCTACTGGTTTCCTGCAGGAAACCTACAGCTCTTACAATTTGTTAGATCTATTGTGCAATCTACCTTTAAAAATTGGCAATATGCTGCATACTTTTTAATACCCCACTAAGAGCACTATTTTTAGTCTTAGCTAAATTCTGTTCTATTATTAACGATGTTAGAATTGAATGTGTTAATAGCTCTAGCCTGTCCACACGCTGGCACAAGTCTTAATTATTTTACCGCTCTTGCCTGGGAGCAAAATAAATAAAGAAAAACAGACAAGATCATTTTGATGGCATCAGATGAATAGTCTATTCAGATTGGGACATTCCTCTGGAGTCCAAGCAAAAAACAAAAAAACCCAAATCTCATTATGATTGCATTTGTATATTTATTTTGATATTGTTAATCCTTCTGCCAGAATAGTCTAATTTATATTTCCTTTTCTTAATGTTTTTACTAACCTCTGGATTATTGTAAAGATAATAAAAAAATGACAACCCACAACAGAAGCATTTGATAAAGCAATGATTAAGAAAATATTATTTTGTACTTACTCACATACTATAGATTCATATTCAAGACTAGGGATTTTTTCACAACCAAAACTGAGTATGGATTTACTTCTTAATTTCTATGCAGTATTGGTAATTTTCCCCATTTATTTATTTAGTCAGTCTCAAGTGTGCAGCATTATATAGTGTGGAAAACATCTGCTTGGACTATTAAAATACTATATCCTTCACAAGGAAGCCTTGTCTTTTGTGATTCATTCCCTACATAGCTGATATTATCTGGGTCACATACAGGCCATTTTTCATTATCGCTTGCCAATCAGTTCTTTGATGTCTGAAAAACCATAATTTTTAGTTCAAAGGACAAGTCTTCTATATAACATAATACACCTCTGTCTTGATATCTGAAAATAATTCATTTCAATACTTTGTCTTTCTAAAAGCAGAGTGACTCTGCTATGTCATATAACAGATTTAAATCTTGTCTGCACATGCAGAAGGTGCAAGGATAAGAAAAGAGTCTAGAAATTAATCCTATAATAAAGTGACACTTTTGCTGTCTCTGTTTAAAACAAAACCCTGAAATTACAGAGTCAGCAACCTGTAAAACCCCAGGCATTATTGAATAACTTCAAGCAGTTCTATTCATTAGCTATTCTTTCTAGGAGTTATTCTTGAACAAGATGTAAAACAAAACTGGTTACCTAATTCTGTTACTGACCATGAAAAATAATGGCCTGACACTAAACTATTGCTATTGTTACTGAAGGCTTTGGCATATGCAGTAGGGTTGCATTTTCTCAATTATTTTAATTTAATTAATGATTGGATTGATTAAATGTATAGTGGTCCAGCCCATAATTTTTTAATAATTCTATCATAAATACCAGTTCCACCTAGGTACTATTCAGGTTTTGCTTGCTTGTTTTTATTTTTCGCTATTCTCTTCATTTTGAAGCTAGGCCAGTTTAAATGGATATGAAAGAGTCTATTCTAAATAACAGTAATTCTATTAAAAGCAATAACAACAATAAGCTTTTTAATGAATCCTGAGGCGCCTTACACTGAGGAGTGGTAGATGTATGCTCTCCTTATAGTCTCTTAAGAAAAAAGACCATGACTAATGCTTGCAGAGCTATTTCCAAGATCCCAAAATTAGATTAGGCACAAAGTACTCATGTAATACACCACTACAATCTGGAAATGGTTTTGGAGACTAGAGTAAAAACCCCAATTTACTTTTCACTGATGGGAAAACCATATTTGCTATTGGGAAATGACAATCCAACCTGAACACAATTTTGCAGTCGGTTGAAAAATCTTAACTGAAGCATTGTAAAATTATCTTTCCAAAAATCCAGACAGAACCACTAAATGCTGTCTGTTAATCTAGCTTCTTGCCCATTGAATGAATCTAAAGCAAGACATCTTTCATCCAGTGTCAATACATTTGATTTCTATTTCCTAAGAGCATACCTTTTATCTGTCTCTATTAAAATTCTGTAAAAATTATTTACAGCCCATTTATTTAACCTGTCAAATTCAATTTGAATTCTACTTAATGATAAATCCTTGAGAAACCATTGTTAAAACACTGTTTAAGAGGTATTTTTTGAGGCCACCTAATTGTTGCAACACCATGGTATAACTTTCTTGCTATGTCATGTATCATAAGTTTTACTATAAATCATATGCTTTACTAAAAATCACTTTTAGGTACCTGCAGAGTCTGCCTTAGGAGGCAGAGATAACAATGATTGCAAAGCCTTCTAGACCTGAAACACTTCAAAGCCTATGAAGGACTTTGAACTCTCCTAATTTAATATGCTAGTTGGAAGCAGGATCCATGTCCCTTCAGTGAATCTGTCTCAATGAACTGATTTAATCAAAACGTCATCAGTTTGAAAAATTCCTTCAAATTTTTCACACAGTCCTAGGGATAATTTATCATTCACCATCAGTTTATATGAAAGTACTGAACCATATTAGAAGATTTGTAAATGGAATAGAAGCAACATTGTCTTTCTAACCCAAGATAAAGGGGGCATAAGTGGATTGATTGGCATCAATTTCTGGCAGTTTATTTTAATCCTGTGATACAGACTATCCTGACTCAACCAATTATCTCACTGAAATCACTGGCAGTTTTGCCTTTGGCAGGGAATATATATCCTGCATGGATGAAAGTATAAAAAGTAGCTAGGGGACAAGACATTACAATAATAAACAACATGGAACCGTCTCCCAAAAGTTCCTCTTTCCACAGTCCAAAAAGTGTTTTTTTTTTTTTTATTAAAAGGGATAATGCCACAGACATCATATGAAACATCATAACATTTCTGTCTGCAAAAGATTCTTACTACCAGACTGGAATCATAAAAAATTAACTGTTTTTAGATGATCAGAACTGTTTAAAAATTCACAGAAATATCTTTCAACAAAGCTGGACTTTAGATAATCAGATCTGTAATCTTCCCTTAAAACCACCTCTTAGTACCACACTGAGCGTCTAAAAATCATAGACTAAGACTGTGCACATTTTAAAAGTACAGTTTCATTTAATTGTTTTAATTAAAAATAATTTGAGCTTAAAACATTCTTCAGAGTTAAAAAGGGGTTGTTCCCACTATACCAGAACTGTTTTAAGGCTGAAGCAGCTCTGCTTTTATTATGAAACGGGGATTTTGAGCTGAAAATGTGGCTATTTCAAGCTTGAAATATTCTCCATGTGATAGAGCCTGACATAAACGCAAAGTAGTATGCCAAACAAAATGAAGTTTTTTAAAAAATTAACTTTTGTTTGGGCAAAATTCATTGACTTCAGTTAGCATTACACAATTTTTCTTTCTTCATACTGTACAAATTAAATTGTAATCATAATTAAAATAAAATTATATTTTATTAAAACAAAAAAGGGGGGGAACCCACATAGAATTCCATAGAATTATACCACAATTATATAAAAATATGAAATCTGAAATCACTGAAATTATTCAATGACAATTTAAAATAAAATTGTCTATTATTAATGAGGATATAAAACAAAATATTGATAACAGGGTGCATACTTATGTACTGATATTAGCATATTGAAGTTGAGATATTTTAAATTTGAAAGGTATACTTTGTGAAGTACCATGCTCTCTTGCTTCTAAAAAAGAAACGGGCACATTATTTCTTTTCATGTTGCGCCAATGGCTTCGTCCAATGCTTTCAATGGGGTATTGGAAAATGTTGTCAGAGACTTCTACTCATGTGCACTGCAGGTCTAGAAACTGGAGGAAGTGTTGGAACGACATAAAACACCCCAGTAAGTTATTTCACTTTTGTGTTCTGACAAGTGAAGAGCAGTGTTGCACATCATTATATCACTATTGTCACGTTGTCTAGGTCGAACAACATTGGGACACTAAACTGCAAGTCTGGCTCAAATTATGCCTTGGTTACACACTGAGGCAAGTCATTTTGTGCTTTGTTTACTTCTGGCTTATCATGAGGTAGAACTGCAGCCCTTTGCACTGGACTGTGGAATAATGAGATGTATGTAACTTAAATTATATAGATTATTTTACAATACCGTAGATTTGTCGCTGAGACTGAGTTCTTTCTATTAACAAACTGCTTATACATTTTTCAAGTTATAAATATTATGAACGTGGTCTCTATTTTGAAAGAGTAACACCTAAATCTGAGAGATGGTATCTATAGATATAGCCAAAAAATTCACTTTTTACTTTTCCCTCTCTTCATTTTTCTCTCTATTATATGGCATGCACGGCATATTCTACCCAACTATCCAGACTTGGTACTTGAGCTGGAGATTGCAACCACACAGATTTAATAGAAGCAAATCCGAAATACACATGTCCCCTGTGGCAAAGCAACAGGAGTTACGTGTATTGATATAGAGTTGCAGCTGAAATGGAGATAAGTAGATAAGGCTGCTGAAATTAAAAAATACTACAGTGCTTAATTTTTTAATAAAAACAATTGGTGTGTGAAACATTGAGTCCTCCCTACTTACTTTCTATTAATGTGATAAAAGCAGGCAAATATTCCACAGGGAAGAGAGGACTTGGTAGTTCTCGTACAAACATTTTCAGTAGTCCTGCGGCATCATTATTGCGGACTTGATCCCAGTCAAAAGTATCATCATCAAATTTTGCTTCAATTTCTTGGCGAAGACTCTACAGGATAAGCAAATGTGTCTAATGTTAAACATGACCACTGATAAAAGCAATTGTGTTATATTTTATTGTTTCTAACTTTATTAGACAGAATACAGTATTTATCAATGAAGTTATTATTAAATTGATATAATTAATATAAAATTAATAAATTAATGTTACAAACTATATTTTTTTATTATATATATATATACACATACATACATACATACATACATACATACAGTAGTTTGCTCCTGGATTAAGTATAACACTTTTAAACAGCTTACATAGTTTAACTATCAATATCAAACATATTTAAGTTTTTACAAATAATACTCAATTCAATTAGACAAGCTGTACTTTAATTATATGTAGACTCAAGACTTTGCAATTTAGCAGTGAGCAGTGCATTAGAATAATGAAAGAGCCTCTTTTCTCACAGTATTTTCTAACCCTGAAGCAGCTATCATGGGAAATTTTAAGTTAAGCAGAGCAATTCCACTGACAAAGTAGTGCACAGGCAAAAATAAAATTAAAATCTGCTCCACGTCTGCATTGTGGTGGATACCTCCCATGACAGATCCTTGTTGTTCTAGTAATGTTCATGAAGCAAGAAATATAAAAAATAATAAAGGCATTTGAACTAATGATATACATATCATTCTAAAACCTCTTATTTATCTTCTTAAATTTGTAATCCCACACAATATCTACATAGCACAGCTCTTGCCTGCACTGAAACATGGCCCAGCTGGCACCAACCTTTTATAGATACAAGTAGAAATTAAAGACCACAGAAGCCTCTTTGAGTCTTTATTCAGCTGCTACATTCAAAGAATAATCTTAAATCAGAACCACATGTATTTTCTTTAAGAAATGGGAATGCTTTCAAATGGAAATGTCAACATAATAAACAATGGCTTTGAATGGTTAAATCTGGTTCAGCTTTAAAAATATCCTTTTCTGTTTCCACTTTTTGGCTAACATTAAATGATTCAATAACTGAAATTAAAAGCATTACATTTTCATTTTTCCTAGGGATTTTTGGCTTTTATTCTAATACAGGGAAGTCTAACCTAGTAAAAACATATCACGGTGGCTCAGAAGACAAATAAAGAAAACAGATAAGGCAGTTTATAAACTGTATGAAATCTAATGCTGACAGTATTATCCTTGCTGCAATATAAAATAGTTGGAACAGACAAAATGTTGAATGTTTATGAAATGACTGGCTGGAAAAAAAATCAAAGCTGAAGATACAAGATACTTCAGATAATGTGGAAAGGGGCTTCTAATGCATTTGGGTTTTTTTTAGTTGTAATTAGATTTTTTTTAGATCTGTATCCAGTCGCTCTTCAATGCAGAATGTATAGCATTCACCTCACCTGTTTCCCCTCACAGCAGCCCTGCCAGAGAGGCAAGAGTGACCAATCCAAAGTCACCCATTGAGTGTCCATGACTAGAGGTGAATTTGAACTTGGTCTTCCTTATCCTAGCTTAACACTACATTGCTTCTTACTGGTAATCTCAGCAAATTAGCTCTTTATCAGTAGGAAATCTGATGCATAGAACTGGTAAGATAGAATTATGTATCTGAGACTATAGTAATGTAGTATGGCTATTCGCTCTTGGGTTTTGTAGATACTTCTAAAAGAAAAAGATAGATAAGATGACTTCTTTACAAGTAGTATCAGCTTATATTTTATTTTGAATAATCTCTCCTATAGTAATGGAATTTTGTGTTCTTTGAATTACACATTTGCATAATTGAATATAATTGGCAAGGTTGACAGAGGTGCTTCCAAATTGAGGGCCTTGGTAAGATATCTTCCGCGGAGATTTTGTTTAGGTGGAAGTCTAGGCTCTTTTTTCCTCTGTCTTTGCCTTTCCTCTTTGTCTCCTTCACATCTATTATTTGCTGCTTCACTTCAGCATGTTTATTTAATATTTAAAAGAGATTATATCACCCATCTTCAGGAAAGCATGATGCCGGGGGTGGGGGGGTGGGGGGGGATAATGCATTATGCTATGATGTGTCTATACCTTCAAAGATCAGAATCATGCAAGCCATGTATTCTCTGTAACAATCCATGGAAATGAAAATTGGAATCTGAAGATTATTGACTTTGGAACTTTGATATTGGAAAAAAATTCCTGAGAATACCATGAACAGTTAAGGGAAAAAAAACAAACGAAAAATTAAAATCCAGAATTGTCACTAGAGGTACAAATGAACAATCTCTTCCTTTGGATACTTTATACAAAGACCCAGTTCTCTGGAAAAAAATTCTAATACTGAGAAAGGCAGAAGGAAAGAGAAAAGGGAATGACCATCAACAAGGTGAATGGACTCAGTTATAGTGACAATAGGTGATCATTGAAAGATCTGAAAGACCAAGTTAGGGACTTATCATCATGAAAAAAATCTATGTGGCTACTAGGAGTCAATAATTACCTGATTTGCAGAAATAGGATACTGGATAGAAAATACCTATTTGTCATTAATTTACCTGTTGTTTTTACTGAGCATATTTAATATTCAATATGGGGAGAGAGCCACTTCGGTAGTGGCTAAAAGATAGGGCTAGAAACCAGGAGGCCTTCTTGGGCACAAGTCAGGTGGGTGAACTTGGTCCAATCACTTTCTCTCAGCCATAAGAAGGAGGGAATGGCAAATCACTTCTGAAAAACTTTGCCAAGAAAACTGCAGGGACGTGTCCAGACAATCTCTGAGAATTGAATAAAAGAAAAAAGAAAAAGAACGGGGGAAAACTCTTAAGAGATTGTTTGGAGTCAATTGGAGAAAGATTGCTTTGGGATGAACAAAGTCAGTTGCATGGGGCAACCATAAGACCTCTTTGCCAATGCTTTATAAAATTGCAGGCTGCTAATGATTTTCCTTTTGCATGCTTTGACGTACCTCTCGGAAATTGAATCCAAAGCTGTGCGTAGATCTAGCATTCAACATTCTTTTTGTCCCAACAATGTTCTAACAATGTTTTTATCCACCAAACTGAGATTTTTGTGACATTTTTGTTGTGTAACAACTATAACATTGAGAACACTATTAATATATATGATAAATAGTTTATTTTATGTGTGTGTGTATATGTATACGTACGTATATGTATGTTCACACAGAACTTGCCCATAAATGATTTTCTCCGTATATCAATATCAAAGGTCTTTAATTTTGAAAGAGAAAACTGTTTACCTTCACTCTGCAAGCAGATCCAGGCACTCGAAGAATACCTTCTGTTTCCAGACCAGTTTCCTCAAGTTTGAGCAATAACTATGTCATAATAAACAAAGTACTTTTATGAATTTTTTTAGTGCAGAGATTTTTAAAAATATAGAGACATTTTTACAACAATTGGCTCCTGCGAACGTAAAACATTATGCCTCACCAAAATAATCTGTGTGGTTAAGTAATCAGAACTAGTCCAAATTCCTAAGTGGCTTTTTTTTTATTAGTTTTTGAATTCTGTCTACTGAGTGAGAAGCTTAAAGATAACAGATACCCTGAACTTTTGCCCAGACAAAAATTTAGCAAGAAGTTAAAACTTTCTGTTGAAGGAATTGTTAGGACTCTTTAGGAAATAAAATAGTATTATATTCTTCTTAATAATAATAATAATAACAACAATAAGAATAATAACAACAGCAATAGCAACAACTCATCACTAAATTCTAACATTATTCTTAGTAAGAAAATGGAAGCAAAATAAAAGCAAGAGATAAAACAACTGTTCCTATTTTATCATTTAAGGAAGAGTCAGCAAGCTGATGTTTTGTACCTAGTGGTGACTATGTTATTTTTTTCTAGAGCAGGGCCTCCAATTGGAAACTTCTAGAAGGACTGGAATGTAGGTCCCAGAATTCCTAGATATTCTGTGACCAAACTATTGGAATTCTTGGGGTTGTTGTCCAAGATCCATTGGGAGGCTTCAGGTTGAGGAAGCGCAATATACACAGTGAACCAAGAGAGGCATGATTTTATTTAAAGTTACATCTTTCCGACTCAAAACATAAACAACTGCCCTGAAATTATAAGATTAATGACTATTATTCTTTATATATGCAGTGATGATTAAGATTGAGCTCTTTAAAATAGTACTCACTTTTTGAAAAATGAGGGGGACTTTAATTCCAGGAAACTTCTTTTGATCATTTTCCAAGAGCACTGCTAATGGAACTCCAAAAAGACCATTTTCTTAAAGAAAAATAATTTAAAATAAAAATTTCAGCAAAGTAATGTTTTGCTGGTTACTAAAAACTTAAATATATAATGTCAGAACATTGTTTGTAACTACCTCGCCTTTTCATCCTTTCTGTCCGGTTCCTTTTCAACTCTATTCCTAAAGCATCATAGACAGCAGTTAATTCAATCAGAGAAAGATAACGAATTTTCTTCATGTCCTCAGGAGACATATCTCCAACTTCAGTTAATCCAAGTCGACTTTTCCTAATTGTATATTTCTGTAATACATTTTAAATTGTTATTTAACATTAAAACATTATAAAGTATGCATGCATGCATATAGTATTTCATCCTTAAGTATATTTTTACAAAAAAAGCAAGTGAATCAAGTTATAAATAATTCTCTTAAGAAGAGTGCTAATTACAATCCTCAGTCTATAGATGGCATACTTAGTTTCCCCTTATGTTGTAGGAATTTAGGGAGGGGGGAATTAAACGAACTGTATCTGAATTCTTGCCTTGTTAAATACAAATATAGAAGACTTACAAGTAGCATGTAACCCTTTTGCTCTCCCACCCAACTCATTTAGAATTGTTTTTTATTTCTGAATAATTTCTCTATGCATAAGATTAGTCTAAATTTATTTTATATTTAGGGAAATTATTATATATTAATATGCATCCTTGAAACAAGTATCAGCAAATCTGCCTATAAAGAATAAATCTAATAGAAAAGGGAAAATAAATTATAAACAGTATTTTCAAACAAAGATCATGTATCTGGTCTGATACATGGGAATATCTGTACAAATTCAAGTATTTATAGATAGTAGATCTATACAGCAGCCCATTAATTCCCTTCTTCCATTGTACAGGTAATTCTGGAATAATATTTGTATGCATTTATTTATTTTTAGTATTTATGAATTTATTCAATACATCTTGATATATAGCTCTCAGCGCTTCATAAAGTAAATTATGTAATTATAGAGGGCAAAAATCCTGATATAGTTATTTTATTTATCCACTTATACAAAATGCTGTTTTACAATAATTAGTTTTTTAACACTGAAATTTTTCCCTTTTTATATTTTTGCTAATTATTATGTTATGGAATTCCTGAAGCAGCACTCATTCTTCAATTTCTGAGGAGAAAAAACTCTCTAAACCTTGGGATCTTAAACAGTGGTGGGATTGAAATTTTTTTACTACCGGTTCTGTGGGCGTGGCTTGGTGAGTATGGCAGGGGAAGGATACTGTAAAATCTCCAATCAGAGGTGGTATTTGCTGGTTCACTGAACTACTCAAAATTTCCACTACTGATTCTTCAGAACTGCAGTGACTCTCAACACCATCAGCCAGCATACAAGCAGAAATACAGATCTGGCAGCAGCAGAGATAAGGTGACATTCTCCACGACTTGCTGTAAGGCATGTTCAGAGCTGACTACGGAGCCCGACAGTCAGAACCTGCTGAATACCACCTCTGACCTTAAAGCCTTGTGCCTTTTTCTGAGCTTGCTTGCCCAACAGATTCTGGAACTTGTGAAAAATTTGCTTCAGGAGGAGAGATAAAGTAATTTTATTGAGTTCTTTGTTCCTTTTAAAACTTTTGATGGATAGAAGAAGGCTTTGTATACCAAATTTGTAGCACCTTGACTAATTTGAATATAGCATGTGGCTGTTTATTAGGCATTTCTAATAATATTTGATAGGCCAGTGAAATTTCTCTTGACTTTCATTATGTGCATAATAAACTTTTTCTTCCAATATGAGTATTTTATGAGTAATTTCAGCAAGGTACTTTATTTCTTAGTTATTCATTTCAGAGTAACCTGTTTAGAAAACAAACTATTATTATTATTATTATTATTATTATTATTATTATTATTATTATTACAAATCTCTAAAGTCAATGTAACATATTTTATGCTTGAAAGAAACTCAGGCATGATATAGAGTACATAAACTTGAGGAGCTTAAACTTACAGGTAAAGCGGAATCATCCTTTTTTAATCTTTGACTTTTGTGACATTCTCTGTGTTTTGGAGACACTGTGATTGATTCTGAGAAGGAAATTTCAAGGGAAAGCTCCTCTTTCTGCAACTGGCTGCCTTTATTGAGTTCATATTCCATACAGTCACTAGCTGAAATCAAGGGAGAATTTTCATGAATGTTGTATTCTTCATGGAAAAATAACACACTCAAAGGCTGGAGAAACTAATTCCAGAGCATTAACCATATATTTCTGTTCGTTTATAGTAAGAACTACATGGCAATTCATGAAAGAATTATTAAGATATTTGTTATTCATTTATTCCACCTCAGTTCCTGAACTGAGATCCAGGCTCAGAAATCAAGGGCCTGAAGTAGATTGGTATATATGTTTTTTTCCCTTCCCATTTTTAACTCAATGGGTTTTAATCAGGTGCAGACAATATGATGCTCATGGTAACAAAAGCCCTGGTTTGGTTTCTGCCAAAAGGGTTTTAAAAATTGAAATAATATAGCGTATTCTTTTAATATATTTTATGACAGTTTAAAAAGATTAATGGGTAAACAGAAGCATTCCCCACAGATTTCCCACAGATTTTGTGTTTGCAAAAAACTTTGATTTTGTTTTTGCTGATTAGATATGTTTGTTGCTATAGAAATGGCTAGTTTATACTGTGGTATAAAAGTAAAATTTTGAGTAATGTTTCTATTGTGTTAAAGAGAGTTGGGAGTCAACCCTCCCCCCAAGTTTCTATTACTTTAAAAAAATCTTTGTATTTTATATTTTGATAAGCTAATAAAATGTATTATAAAAAATGCCTGAGGTCAGAAAGAATAGCATAAAATTTAATAGACTAGTAAACCTAGGACAAAATCTGATATATAATTAGTCATAAATCCCACAGTGATAAAAGAGACTTATTCTGAAATAATAATATATAGGATTTCTGCATTAAAATTTAAATAAGATACTGCCATCAACAATCAAATTATTTCATAGATTATTTAAAAAAAAAACAAGGTATGTTAACTATTAGTAGATACTCACAGCTAACCATTTTCCAATCTGGATTCTGCACAGAAAAATCTATACCATTGGTTGTAACAGGTAATACTGGTATAGTCTCAAATGTAGGCTGGAAGACAAGAAAATATTAGAATAATTTATTTCGGATACAAATATGCAATTCATTGACTTCAGTTAGCATTACACAATTTTTCTTTGTTCATACTGTACAGATTAAATTGTAATTGTAATTAAAATAAAATTAACTTTCATTAAAACAAAAAGGGGAAAAGAAAATCACATAGAATTCCATGGAATTATTTAAAAATATGAATGGAAATAATTAGTTTTTATTAAAAAATAATTCACACTGATTGAAATACAGCAGTTCAGTATGACATCTCCCTTTTGCTTAGCTATTATCAAGGTGAAATGTATCAATTCAGCTCTGCTTATTATTAGCCCTTGGAATGTAATATAATTCACAATAGCACTGGAAATTACTGAAATTATATAATGACAATTGGAAATAAAATGATCTATCATTAATGAACAGGATAGAAAACAAAATATTGATAACAGAGTGCGTTTTTGTGTACTGATGTTCCTGAGGCTAAAACTGCCTTGAATATCACAAGTTTTTAAATGTGGGCAAAAGGAGGTTTTGATATGTATTTTATAGAAAGGCATTTTATTTTCAATAACACATTTTCAAACATTTTTTAACAATTATTAAGTCCTATACATAAACTACTTCAGTGAAGATATATTGAAAGAATAAGTAGAGTTCTATTGCAAAATATCTAACTTATATATAAACATATATTAAAGTCATAATATTTTTTTTGTTATCAATAACCAATAAGTTTAGAAAAAGAATGAGGTGGCCTAAGTAATTTGATATACATTTGTACTTGCACATACTGTATTCCTTTTTACAAACTTTGAATGAGGTTTAATGTCACATAATTTCTTCATAGAAACATATAAAAGGTGATTAGATAAATCATATATATTTTTAATTCTTTTATTTTCAAGTTTGTAGCTCTTAAAAGAACAAAAATTGACTTGAATTTATGAGCAATATCTGGTGAAAGTTTTAAAGAAAAGCACAATTCCTATCTCTATCATCATCACATTCAAGAGCAGAATATATAAAACAAAAAGGGAAGCAGAAACTACTTTGTGATAGGCCTTCCTAAACGTTTTTGCAGCATTTTGGTACAGAATATTATACCAATTTAAAGTGAAACTTCACAGAGTAATCAACCAGTAACCAAAATAATAAATAAATAAATTTCAAAAATATCTAAAGCATTAAAAAAGTTCACTTACAGAGGAATTATGAATGCCAAAGATATCACGCACATCTCTGACTGTGTGTTTATTTTTCTTTCTCATGGTCTGAGAATATGTGGTATATCTCTTCTGCACAGCAGCTGCTTGAGTTCGGGTCAATGTTGATAGCAATGCTTCTCCATTGTCTTCTTCCGATTCTGATATTAATGTAGACAGACCAACATCTTGCAACCATTCAGCTTCTAGTTCACCTTCTATAGAGGAACATATTATATGAAGCAAGCTCAGTTAATCTATTGTAGCAAAATATAAGGAGTCTGGTCACATCTTTTCTACTAACAAATTTTGTTAAAAGGCTTTTTAAAAAAAAAAAATTGATAAGATACTTCTAACCTGTTCCACATGCAACCTGTATCTGCATGACCAACTTGTTTCTACTCCTTAGTTCTCAAATCACCCAGTATAAATCTTCTATTAGCCTAGCCATTCTCACTGATGAAGTGAGGTCCAGCTCATGAAAATCCATACCTTTTAATCTATTAGTCTGAAAAGATAAGTCCAGGGTCAGATTAGCATTAGGAATATGATGAAAGGACAAGATTGTCACCACAAAATCCCTTCCTCATCTAAACATCTGACTCTCAAATTTTGATAGGGAGATAACCAGCAAGACCCACAACAAAATACTGTGATGTAAATCAATGTTAGTCAAGTCCCACAAATATGACTCTTTCAACACTATTTTAGTATTTTTTTTCATTCTTCCTTCCCCTCCTGATCTAACTGCTAATCAGCGTGCCATAACCCTAGTCATGCTCACCTCTGGAGGGCTGAGTTCTAGGTGATTACAAATTCTTATAATAAGAATCTGTTAAAATATACTTCTGAAAACAGCTTTTTATGAGCAGGCAGGCACAGAATCTGTAGAACAACGCAGTTTAGTAGAAACATTTCAGAAAATTTGAAAGAACAAATTTGGAAAAGAGAGTGGGGAGAGAAGGACATATCGTTGAGATGTCTAAATGCAAATGCTTTGGCATTGGGAATAAATCAGGGAAATCTTTCTGCACAATCATGCTGAGCTAAGACATCTTGCAGACACGCTCTTTCATCTTTTAAAAAGAATTGGCTGAAAATACTAGTATTTGGCATTCTAGGGTCAAGGGTTGCACAGTGATCTGATTCTGAAGAGGAAAATATGATGTGGAGTATGCAGGGGCACACACATAGCTTCTGTTTGTAACTCTGTAAACCAAAGAGTTTGAGGCCCCCCAACTTGGTTTTTGGGAAGGCTGTCAACGCCTGGCCCCCAGGTGTTAGGACTGAGATGTTAGAGGACTACAATATATGTGACTCTGTCTTGTGAATTTGTTTCTTTTTATTATTTTTAACTATGTTTGTTTGCGGAGCCCTTTTTACATATTGGATTATTGCAATATGATCTACATGAGGCTGCCCTTGAAGACCATCCAAAAGTTGAAAATAGTCTAGAATGTAGTGGCATTTGCAGTTCTGGGCACTTCGTGGTTTGCCTATGTTAGTGTCACACCACTACTGAATTTGCTGTACTGAGTTGCTTTCTAGGTGTAATTCAAGGTACTGGTTATCACCTTTAAAATCCTACATCACCTAGACCCAGGTTATATTCAGGACTGCCTCAATGTGAGAGCATCTGCCCATCCTACTAGACCAGATAAGGTGGGCACATCCCAGATCCATTCTTTAAATACTGTCATGTGATAGAACCTTGGAGATGCCCTTTTTTGTAGCCACCCTGGTCTTTTGGAATAGCTTCCCAACTGAGATTTTGGGTGGGGTATTCTTTTAACCTTCTGGGTGGCTGTGGAGATCTGGCTCATGTCTAAAGCATTTCTCAACTGTGCTAATATCAGATACATGATATGGGTTCTAGACTGATGAGCTGTATTCAAGTATAGGTCTAGCAAATGTTTTGTATACTCTAGTTAGTAGTGTGATATTACCAGAGAAGAAGCTACGTAGGATTAGATTAACAACTCTTAATTCCTTTTTGGTTATGTAGTTACAGTGGGCTATGGCAGTTAGATCATTTGAGATGAGTACTCCAAGATCCTTGACAGAGTTTGGATCATCAACAAGGTCTTGACTATTCAGCCTGTATTTTATTTTCTGATTTTTTTTGCCAATATGTCGGACAGAGCATTTATTAGTTGAGATTTGAAGTTGCCATTTGTTTGACCATCCTGATACATAGTCAAGGTCTTTTTGAAGGGTAGCAGTATTGTCTGTGGTGTTGAATAGCTTTACATCATCAGCGAAGAGAACGCAGTTGCTCTTAACATGATCACACAGGTCATTTATGTAGAGTATGAAAAGAGTTGGTCCTAGAACACTGCCTTGGGAGACACCACTGTTGACAGGTACAGAATTTGATAGGACACTCCCAGTTTTGACCATTTGTTGTCTGTTTGACAGGAATGCTTCTATCCAGATATGCAGGTGCCCAGAGATACCATAAGATTTTAGTTTTAGGAGTAGTTTGTGATGTATCACTTTTCACAGGTTGAATCAGGGGTCAACTGTCTGGATGGTCTGGAGCAGGAATGAGCAATTAATTTTCCCAAGAGGCCATATGAGAAACTGCAACTGTTGTGGAGGACTGAATCAATAACTCCTGGATAGCTTTGCCCACTTGTGCACAAGGTGGTGCTTCAATCAAGGTGGTGGTGGTGGCTGAGCTCGGGTCCCTTCATGCAATGATCACAACCACTATCTCCTCAGGCTTCTCCTGGTAAGCATACTAGTGTATGATATCCAAAATCAGATGAAATCTGGTAGCAGTTTTTTCTAACAAATTTTATGAAAAGGCATCAACTTTCATGAGCTGAAAATCACTTCATCACAATGAAATGAAATTTAAAAGTTTATGTCTTCTGATTTCCAGAAAGAGAATTACTCTATGTAGGTAATAGAGAAATAGTATTAGTGCAGGGGTGTCAAACTGGATTTCTTTGAGGGCCGAATCAGGCCTGTGGTTCTCTTCTGCAAGCCAGGGTGGGTGGGTTGGATGGAACAGATGCTTCCTGCAGCACTTTGCCATCCAAAACAGGACATGGGGGGTATTTCTAATAAAAAATGTTTTAAAGCATTGACCGAGTTTTATATTAATGTACTGCAGATTCTCCCCCCCTTAAATTTTAGTTGATTATTAATTGTATCATTCATATTCTTTATTGCATTACTTTTTATATGTTATATTTTACCAATATTTTAAAAAAACATTGCCCTATCTCTGCACTAAGATACATGGATAAGCTAAAAGCATCTAAATACTTTGTCTTTTATTGAAAAATACCAATGGAAAGATAATATTGTAAGCTTCCAATAGAAGTCCTTGGGGACAGACTACTGGACTAATTTTGCCTTTGGCCTGACTCAGTATGTATTTTTCTATGTTGTTGAAAATAATATAATACAGTAACATAAAAAGGTATTTGTTTTCTATATTTCTATATTGTAACTCTCCAAAAGGGATTATGGCCACCGAAAAACCATAATCAGACTATTTAATTAATTTATTTAGTGTATGCCAAATACATGTACTTACAATGGTTCAAATGTCAATGTCCAATGCATCCAGCCATTCAAGGACAGATCTATGTTGAAAAAAATCAGACATTGGGCCAGTGTAAGCTCTTGATGGGCATTTGGACACAATGTGATGGATATTTTATTGAGGAGCACCACAGTTACACTGAGGAGTAGAGACAAGACCCCACTTAAACAATGAGTCCTGGCAGACACCATGTTGGGTACGGATCCTGTTCAGAGTTGAACAATGCTGGCAAGGAAGATAGCATCTTTTGAATAGGGTCATATATGAAACTGCTGCCTGGATACAGCTCATTGAAAGTCATGAGAACAACTCACAACCTGATTAAATTTCAGCAAATCCAGCAGGAAAGCTTGGAGCCTACTAAGGAAACTGGGAGCTGCCAGACAACCTGCTTGACCTAGTGTAATTGCCGACCAAGTAGTCTCCTGAGTTGTCTCCCTCTCTAAAGCCCCAAGAGTGAAAGAGCAATCAAGGAAACACTCTCAGCCTTTTGACGGTCAGCTCCATCACACTCTGTATTCACCCACCCTTTCTCCGTGGATGAAATCGACACAGCCATCAACAGTCAAAAGTCTGGCAAAGCACTAGGTTTTGATGGCATCCACCCTGAATTTCTAATTCATTCTGAGAGACTAACAAGGAATTGGCTTGGCAAATTCTTTTCATACATACTTTCTAGTGGACACCTCCCAAAGTAATATTGCTTCTGAAACCTGGCAAACGACAAGACAAACTACAGAGTAGAAAGCTATCATCCCATTGCCATTCTGAGTTCTTGTTACAAACTTATCATAAACAGAACCCACAATAGATACATTTCTGCCTGTGGAACAAATTGGCTTTCATCATAATCAGACTACTATACATTATTAAATCATAAAATCATCACTAAAATTATTAAACTCACAATATTAATAATTTCTAGGCATCCCAATGTCAATGATCTAATCCTCAAGGGCCCTTTTGAAAAACTCAGCTGAACATCTTGGAAGCCTACCCTGTTTCTCCAACAATATGGCCTCCCCTAGTAGGAAGTCCCTGCATGTTTTATAGGCATGAAATGAAATTAAGCCCCTCCCCCCAAATTAAGGCCTATATTAAAACATGCGAAATGGGGGGGGGAATGGTGGGGGGGATTGCCGTTAGGAAGTACTTTTGTTGCACACCCGGATATGGTGCTGCCTGCGTTGACCCCGATATGAAGTGCCCCACCAATGCCGAGGTCAACATCCAAGCCATCGCTGCCCACCCGCCCAAAGATGCAAGGGGCGGGGGAATTAAGTCACCCCCCAAAAGACGGCCTAGCCATTTTTTCGGGGCTCAAAAAAAAAATAAGACCCGGCCTTATTATATAAGAAACACGGTACTAGAAACCAATGAAGAGCACTATACTGGTGCAATGCCACAACTGTAGCTTCCAGGTAGCTTTCAAGCCAGCCATGTAGAGCATGCTGCAGTTATTACTACAAAAGATGACAAGAGCTAAGTTGGAGGTATATAGGTGAAACTCGAAAAATTAGAATATCATACAAAAGTTCATTTATTTCAGTAATGCAACTTAAAAGGTGAAACTAATACATGAGATAGACTCATTACATGCAAAGCAAGATAGTTCAAGCTGTGATTTGTCATAATTGAAATGATTATGGCTTACAGCTCATGAAAACCCCAAATCTACAATCTCAGAAAATAAGAATATTGCGAAAAGGTTCAATATTCTAGGCTCAAAGTGTTCCACTCTAATCAGCTAATTAAGCCATAACACCTGAAAAGGGTTCTTGAGCCTTTAAAGGGCCTCTCAAAATGGTCTCTCATTTGGTTCAGTAGGAATCACAATCATGGGACAGACGGCTGACCTGACAGTTGTGCAGAAAACCATCATTGACAACCTCCATAAGGAGGGAAAGCCTCAAAAGGTAATTGCAAAAGAAGTTGGATGTTCCCAAAGTACTGTATCAAAGCACATTAATAGAAAGTTATGTAGAAGGGGAAAGTGTGGAAGAAAAAGGTGCACAAGCAGCAGGGATGACCAGCCTGGAGAGGATTGTCAGGAAAAGGCCATTCAAAAGTGTTGGGGACTTTCACAAGGAGTGGACTGAGGCTGGAGTCAGTGCATCAAGAGCCACAACACATAGACGGATCCTGGACATGGGCTTCAAATGTCATATTCGTCTTGTCAAGCCACTCCTGAACTAAAGAAAAACAGAATTGGTCGGTTGCTCAATGGTTCAAAGTCCTCTTTTCTGATGAGAGCAACTTTTGCATCTCATTTGGAAACCAAGGACCCAGAGTCTGGAGGAAGAATGGAGAGGCACACACTGCAAGATGCTTGAAGTCCAGTATGAAGTTTTCACAGTCTGTGTTGATTTGGGGAGCCATGTCATCTGCTGGTGTTGGTCCACTGTGCTTCATTAAGTCCAGGGTCAACGCAGCCGTCCACCAGGAGATTTTAAAGCACTTCATGCTTCCTTCCGCAGACAAGCTTTATGGGGATGCTGACTTCATTTTCCAGCAGGACTTGGCACCTGCCCACACTGCCAAAAGAACCAAAGCCTGGTTCAGTGACCGTGGGATTGCTGTGCTTGAAAATCAATGGGGCATTGCCAAGAGAAAGATGAAAGACATGAGACCAAACAATGCAGAAGACCTGAAGGCCGCTATTGAAGCATCCTGGTCTTACATAACACCTCAGCAGTGCCACAGGCTGATAGCTTCCTGCCACACCGCATTGAGGCAGTAATTGCTGCAAAAGGGGCCCAAACCAAGTGCATGCTTATACTTTTCAGAGGTCTGATACTGTTCTATGTACAATCCTTGTTTTATTGATTGCATGTAATATTCTAATTTTCTGAGATTGTGGATTTGGGCTTTTCATGAGGTGTAATCCATCATCATCAGAATTATGACAAATCACGGCTTGAATTATTTTGCTTTGCATGTAATGAGTCTATATCATATATTAGGTTCAATGAAAAAAAAACAACAACAACAAGGAGAGAGCCAAGACATAGACATTTATTTTATTTATTTATTGAATGTATTTGATGCCTATCTTGTAGCAAAGGACTTTGGGTGGCTTCAGCCTTAAAATCATAACAAATAAATATCTTTAAAAGAATAAAAGTAGAAATAATGGGAAAGTAAGGAAAACTTCAGAAATTATTTTGATGTTTAGAAACTTTTACCCAATCTTGAGAAAAAAGAGACAGAAAATTAAATTGCTATTTGCTGCTGCAGTATAAAGGTGGATTTACTTTCAATTAGCTCTGGAAAAATGCTGCCTCATGATTTTATCAACACAATTTTAATAAAGCTGTATAACTAATTCATTAACTCAGCCCCCAAGGCTCAAAAAACTTTACGCTTAGAAGACACAACTGGGACTATTCATTTCCATAATTCCAATATTTAAATATTTTAACGTCTATGTCTTCATACAGATCTCTTCTCCCCACTCTTCCCACTTATGAATTAAATAAATAAGCTGTTTTTTTAAAAAATAAATTCTGGATGCAATCGATTCAAAGTAAAGGACTTCAAGGCTGTGGCATTACCCTACTTGTCAAGAAACAAGCTTTTGCAGAACTGTTTAGAGACTGCAGGAAAAACAACAATCTTTGTAGAAGAATTAAAAACATGCTCATCTTCAGAGTACTTCTCCTATTTAATGTCAGTGGGACGTAAAGAGTGTTAACCGAATTGCAAATAAAATTTTGAAGATATAAGCCTTTAACATAAAGGAAAGATAATGAATCTCTGTTTATTTGCTGCTTTTATCACTCCAGCTGAGCCATAAAAACTTGAATTGAAATGTGCGTGACGGGGACATTTTTAAAAAGTATTTATCTTGTGTGGCTATAGGGAAGACATTTCAGTGGTCACTGAAATGCCCTTAATGCAAACAAACTTTATATCAATCTCTTGCTATGAAAAAGCAAATATCTTTGAATAATATTGTCCTAAATAGGGGGTGTGATGGGTCAGCGGTTGAAGATACTGAGCTTGTCAGTTGGAAAGATGACAATTCAAGTTTAAGACCCGAGCACTGCATGATGGTGGGCTGTCCCTTATTAGTCCTGATTATTCTATGTACTCACACACCCAATTGCCACTTAAATCAGTGTTCCCCAACCTTTTGAGCACCAGGGACCGATTCTGTGGAGAGAGATTTTTCTTCGGATTGGAGGGGGTGTGGTTTCATGTGCTGCCGCATCCTGCTTGATCGAGCTTCACTTGTTTGCACGGCCCAGTTTCTGGTATGCTGAGGACTGGTGTCAGTCCACAGACCAGGGGTTAGTCCCCCAGACTTAAATGAATTAATTGAATCAAGGACCAATATTTCACATTGCTAAACTGTATGTTGAGTGATTATTTAATGCAATAAAATGAAAAAAGGAACAAACTTTGGGGTAGATCAGAGGTGGTATTCAGCAGGTTCTGACTAGTTCTGGAGAACCGGAAAATACCACCTCTGACTGGAGATTTTACAGTGCCACACCCACCAAGCCATGCCCACAGAACCGGTAGTAAAGAAAATTGAATCCCACCACTGGGGTAGATGCTTATCCAGTCTCTCTCCATATTCAAAAGGAGACAAATACCACTTCCAAGAATTAGGCCTGGTAAAAATCATACCATGAACTTCTGTATTTGATTCTTTTTGTATAATTTCTATTGAAGGCTTTTACAGGTAACTATTAGTCAATTAATTAGTCAATTAATCATATTATTATCCAACATAGCTATGCAGTGTTTCTGATTCAGTTCTCAAACATAAATGGACATTTATTACACCAGCACCTCTTTGGAATAAAAACAAGGATCAAGGAAGATCTGAATTATTAATTCATACCATCAGGAGGCTTGACTTCTAACAGGTTTTGCTCATCTTGCCTTTCTTCTGTGCTCTCCTTGATGTTTTCTACCTCACACCAGAAATCCTCCATAGAAGTGCTATCAACAGAAACTTGTGAATTGGAACGGCTATACACGGGAGGGCGCAATGATTCATTGGAGAGCATTCTGCTAATTCGTTGGCAACGAGGGAGAGATTTCCTGAAACAAAACAAAAATAAAGTTAGGGAAAATGATGAAGAAATGTTGTTATACTATTCACTTGATACTCAATTAGCCATGCTTTTAATTTTGTTCTCTGCATATGTACTGTAAAACTGAGTTTTAGGTGGAAAATAAAAATCAGGAATCTCTATCATTCATTCAAATTTCCCCACTGTTTGGGCTCACTGAACTGTTTGGTATCATATTCTTCTGACTCTTAAAGTTGCCAAGTTTGGAGACCTCTGCTTTAAAGCAAGGAAAACTTGAAGTAAAATTGTAAGCACAGTTATGCGGTTTTCTCTTAGCAACTGCTTCACTTAATGACAACTTACAGGAACCAAATGTGGTTGCCACATGAGGACTACCTGCATTGTATTTTATGTCAAGTCAAACATAGTAGAAAAACATATTAATGTTATATGATAGTGTGCCATAAGTTTTGACAGCACAATCTGGGAAATATTAGTGGTTGCAAAAATGGAGCTCATGGTTAAGTTTATAGTAGATTGTCCCCCACTGCCTTAAATAAAGATATGCTAAATAATAAAGAACAAAGACAGTGAGCACATATTCTTTTTAAACATACAAACACACACACACACACACACAAAGATGGAGGAGGGTGGAAGGAAAGGAAAGACAGAAAAAGAGAGAAAGACCTATTTTTCCAGTACTACATCATAAAGGGTTTTAATAATCAAGAGAAAAACTGTCCATATATTGCAAGTAAAGTTTTGTTATTAATGCATTACAATAAATTTCTTGCTTTCCAAGTAACTGTGTCCAACAATGCTTATTGTCAAGATGAAAAGTTTAAGGATAGAGAGAAATCAAATAATATGAAAGGAAAAATCAAATGGTAAATTGTTTGTAAAAGAAAATTTTATACAAGTCAGTGTAAAAGAAAGTTTTATCTAAGTCAGTGAAAAAGAATGTTCCACATAACTCTGTTGTGTGCAAATAAACAATAGTGAAATGATTCTAACCAAATATACCTATTAACCATCTGTCAAATGATAAGATATAATTCAGACATTTAAAGCAGATGGTACATTTTGCAAAAGACAATAACATTTTTTGGTTTTATGAACTAATATTTTTATGGAAGAAAAAATATTAATTGTAGGGAAATGCAAATATTTCATATGCATTAGGACAGTTATTGCTTTGAGATAGATAAGATATAGAACAAATATGATTAAGTATATTTAAATGACTGAAGTCAATGAAGTGGATTCCATCTAGCTTGGTTATTGGTACTGCATGAAAAAACAAGGGAACAAAGTAATTTTGAAGGCTGTTTGTACTGTGATTTTAGAAGATACTAAATCTATGTATGTTTATCTCTAGAGATTATTCCTGTGCTACTACATGAACAGATGCAGTCTACTTTTTAAAAATATCACATGATAGTTAATTTCAGAGAGTATACATAACTGCTGCTGTATAAAGTTGGAGGGCTCTTGTACGCAATCTGCATATTAGACTGAAATAAGCATTGGTCTTAACAATCACAAAGCAATCATGATTATATCAATTAAGGGCTTTATTTCATGAGATACTAGTTGCCTGCTAAGCTGAAGAAGCAGTGCAACTTGTCCTAATTATTTTATTTTATTTTATTATAGCCTATCACAATCCCAAAGAATTACAAAATTCTACATAGGACTCTTCAGGTTTTAGTTACTCCTTGGGTACAATTGCCTGCGAGTAGGGGAATAGGCAGAATCTTTACATAAACCATATAAAGAAATTAAAAAGTTAAAGGTGAATAATAACATAAAGCTGGGAAGTGGGAAGTAGTAACAAGACCAAGTGCCACGACCCAGTAGAAGTAGGAAGTGCAGTGCCATGGTAAGTGCCACAGTAGAAATTAGAAATAGGAAGCAGTGGGAAAGGACTTAAAACAGCAAAGTACTGTATTTTGAGGCACATGCATCTCCAACTTATACTTTATTTACATGCCAGAGTAAGCAAAGCATACGTGTTAGATAATGAACTTCCCTACATAATTTTTTATGGAGACTCAAGAAATATAAAATATAAATCTAAAATAATGTTGTGTGAACAATGTATTTCTGTACATAGGAAACACTTCAGAAAGGATCAGATAACTACAATGACACAGACAACACAGCTGTTCTTTTCATATTATCTTAAGTACAAACATTTTTAGATTTTTAAGTTTGGGCAAGATGTATTTATTACATGTAACAGTTAAGAAAATAAACTTATTGTAAATTATGAAAAGTTGCACATGACAGCAGCTTTCCAAGCTGTATTATTTTTGGACCATTCTTTCATATATATCGGTTTCATGCTGTAGAGGCATCTGAGGACTGAAGAGATGATAGAGGAACAAAATGGTTTGCTTGGATTAGATGGACTGTTAATCACTGTCAGGAAATATAAAACATTCCTGTCTCTCAGAGAAAGGGCCACTAACCATGATCTTTGCCCTCATCTAGCCCCTTTACTTTGTTAGCATAACCACCATATAAGGAAAACAAGAGTTTGTGATTTCAACAGCAGGCTCGTCTTTTTAGTATCGTACCATGTCAGAAACAAAAACAAAACTGATTGTGTCACACTTGTAGCATTTAACTTATTTGTGTTGTTTAAAAGAACATTCACAGCTGTTCAGACCAAATAAGCAAGAACATCTAAGACATGAATGAGTATATGTAGTATTTAATTTTGTGATTATATTGTTTTGTAGTATTTACATCTTATAGGAACATGAATGTATAAAACACGCTGAGGTCTTCAAGACCTTTTTTTACAAAATGGATACTTGGTGTGCATGTTATTTTGCGGTATGGGGGGAAGTTTATATTATATTCATGGGGAAATAATCGACTAGCCAACTTGGAAACTGGTACTCTGTGATTGGCTGCACCCATTGCAACGATCATTATGTGAAAATGTTTGAGTTGTCTTTTTGTCTATGCATTCCCATGGTCCAAGTAGCAGAAGCAATATGCAGATAAATCACAATCAATCAATCAGTTTCTTTTGCCAAAATAATTAATTATATATATTTTAGTACCTCCATTGATCTTCACTACCTTTCAAATGATGTGAACTAGATTACAGAATCATTTCTAAATCAATTCAATAGAAAATCATCTGGGTCTAATGTCATGCTAGATGAACTGAGCCAAATACCTGTAGAAAAATAATGCCTGAATTGGATAATTGAAGAGGATGTGAAACAAATGCTAGTATCCAGCTGTTCTTTGCTAAGTGTTTACTGCAGGTGAAAGACAGGGAACTGGCAGTATAGCATCATGGTGTTAGTTTGAATTAAAAATATGCAAAACAAAACCCTTCCTAGAAAATCTGGAACCTGAAAAAAAACTGAATATTCCCTGGAAAATCCTGGAAAAAAAATTATGAGCTTTAAATGGCATTCCATTTCAAATGGTTCATCAAACAACCCAGATATTTCACTCAAGGCACAAATGAGCAGGCTCACATTATCCTACTTCTCACACATTATGCAAGACCTAGCAGAATAACTCAATTACAGTAGCAATGATTGTTGGAAGACCTGAAAGACCAGGTTAAGGACAGATTGTCTTGGATAAAATCTATGGGGTTGCTAAGAGTCAACAATGGCTTGATGGTACATAATATTTCTTCCGAAGGCACTGAAGACCTGGTTTTGCCAGCAGACCTGAGGAAACCAGAGCGGGATGGAGCCCATCAAATGGCTCGTGTGATCTGCTGTCATGGGGGGAGGGCAGTTGGGAGTGATTTTTTTATTCATTTCCCCCCCCCCCCAGATTTTGTTCTATTATACTTTATTAATTTATTTGATTGTTTTTGTTAGTTTTATTGGGTTTTTTTTGTTTTTTAAATATGGTTTTCATTCTGTAAGCCGCCTTGAGTCACCATGGACGAATAAGCAGCAATATAAATTCAATAAATAAATAAATTTCAGATTAACTGGATGAGAAAATGGGTGGGTATACAATTAAAAAGGAAGTGTTATCCATCAGTGTTATTGTATTAGTCAATTCTTCCTTCAGAAAGGACTCACATATTGAATTTTGAAATATTAAGTGTACTGGATGCAATTTGATGTTAGCCAGAGGAGCTTTTTTTTTTTTTGGCTTTCACAAGAATCATGAAATAGAAACATATTATAAATGTAATTCTTTCAAATGCCTTTTGTATAGCTCTATTAGCATATAGACCATGTAATATCAAAGTACAGGTAAAACTCGAAAAATTAGAATATCATGCAAAAGTTCATTTATTTTAGTAATGCAACTTAACTTAAAAGGTGAACCTAATATATGAGATAGACTCATTACATGCAAAGCAAGATAGTTCAAGCCGTGATTTGTCATAATTGAAATGATTATGGCTTACAGCTCATGAAAACCCCAAATCTACAATCTCAGAAAATAAGAATATTGTGAAAAGGTTCAATATTCTAGGCTGAAAGTGTCCCACTCTAATCAGCTAATTAAGCCATAACACCTGAAAAGGGTTCCTGAGCCTTTAAATGGTCTCTCAGTCTGGTTCAGTAGGAATCACAATCATGGGAAAGACTGCTGACCTGACAGTTGTGCAGAAAACCATCATTGACACCCTCCATAAGGAGGGAAAGCCTCAAAAGATAAATTGAAAAAGAAGTAGGATGTTCCCAAAGTGCTGTATCAAAGCACATTAATAGAAAGTTATGTGGAAGGGAAAAGTGTGGAAGAAAAAGATGCACAAGCAGCAGGGATGACCCCAGCCTGGAGAAGATTGTCAGGAAAAGGCCATTCAAAAGTGTTGGGGACTTTCACAAGGAGTGGACTGAGGCTGGAGTCAGTGCATCAAGAGCCACCACACACAGATGGATCCTGGACATGGGCTTCAAATGTCATATTCCTCTTGTCAAGCCGCTCCTGAGCTAAAGAAAAACAGAATTGGTCGGTTGCTCAGTGGTTCAAAGTCCTCTTTTCTGATGAGAGCAACTTTTGCATCTCATTTGGAAACCA